TATAATTACATCCTCGCCTTCAGTGAAGACTCCATCAAGCTGAATGAATTGTGCCATGGGATAAATGGCATGCATGGGTTAGCATTCACCAAGTACAGTAGTAAAGACTCATTCAGTGAAAGAGTAGCTGGCGGTGTAGCTCAGTGGTCAAGAGTGATGCGCATAAAACCCTGAGTTTGATTCCCAGCTTTGCGTGAAGCCGTGTGTGCTGGTGCATGCTTGTACTCCGAAGAAATGCCAATGCCTGGCTTGGTCATTAAAGGTAAGATCAGCAATGAAGAACATTTGGGTGCCATGAAGCCCAAGACCCACACACTTGAATGGAATCAAGCCGGACATGAATATGTTGGATTTTTACCATGAGCAGCAACAAACAATCGCCAAGCAAAAGCCATTCTAGAAGATATCAGAAAAAAAAAGCCAAGGACCTCACAGGCACACCATCACCACTATGTAAAGAGACATGACATCCCAGTGCAACTTGGCTCTGAGAACGAGCTCTCACGAAGGGGAGAAGAAAGTGGTTGGAATTCCCCAAGGTTGGCAGCCATAGTTAAGTGACCATTGGTCCTTGTTATCAGGACATGCACAGGGTCATATTTGGGGCAATTAACTCTCAAATGCTTCAAACAATAAACAAAAGAATACATTTCCTATGTGAATATATATATGTATGTATATATATACATGCATACATACACACACACACACACACACACACACACATATATATGAAAAGTTGAAAAATACTAATAATTGGCATATCTGGGTAAAGTATATACAACTTCTTTGGCTGATTTATAATTTTCCAGAGAACTTGAAACTAAGATTAAGTTTTTCTTTTTGGCTGTTTTCTAGACAAAGGCTGTTCCAGCTAGAATCATCAATGCAGGAACTGAAAAACAACTTGGGTTTATCCAGCCCAATCCACACATTTTGTGTGCCCGAAAGCTGAGGCCCAGAAACACACATAACATGCTTAACCTTGCTGTGTTAGCCTGCTGGAGCAGCCTCAACAAAACATAGATCGTGTGGCTTACAAAAGTGGAATTACTTTTCTCCTACGTTGGGACTGGAAATCTAAAATCAGTGTACCGTTCACTGGTTCCTGTTAACAGATGTCTTTCTTAGCCAGTAGCCACCTGGCCTCCCTGCTCACCCCCATACATGTTTGTGTGTATACACAGAGAAAGCTACATCATCAAATAAGACCATACTTCCTATGGGTTAAGGCTCTATTCTTGGGACTTCTTTAGCCTTGATTACCTCCTAAAAAGCTCTCTGTTCAAATAGAACCACATTGAGGAACTCAGGAACATCTGTAGTTCAGTCCACACTAGTCAGTTTGGTATAGCGTGGTCCCTCAAGCGTGTTCTGTAACCTCAAATCAAACACTTTTAATTTGTAAACTTCACTTATTTATATTTATAGTGTTGGGGGTTGAATCCATGGCCTACAGTACAGTGGGTGAGTGTTTGCCATCTAGATATAATCCAACTCCTTAGTTTTTTGAGACAGTTTTTTCCAAGTTAGCTCAAGCTGGCCTTGAACTTGGATGCAGACCAGGTTGTTACACCATCCCATGCCTCAGCTTTTCCTGTGTTGAGATTATAAACAAATGCCACCACATCCAGCCACTTTTAATTTTTTAAAAAGACCTTATTTTAATTAAAAATTGTCAAAAGAGTCTAATTTAAAAACCAGAATCCAGGACTATGCCCCAAGCTTGCAATTAGATGTTTTCTTGTATGTGTATGACTATGCATTTTGAAGTTTTCTGTGTGTAGAAAGTAATACTTTCACTTGATGAATGCAAAATGATTTCTCCAAAGTTATACGTTAAAGTTGTAACTGAGGGGAGAAACGTTAAAAAGCTAATAGATTGCAAATATCATCAGCATGTTGAATCGATCCAAAAGAAGTTAATTTATTTAAAGCCATTAAACCACGGGTCGATGAAGACCTTATTGTGTTTTTGTTTTTGTTCAGTCACATACATCAATATAAACCCTCTGGGTATACTCACCAGGCCAGAAACAATGAAGTAAATTACACTAAAAAACAACCTACCCAGCTGTTTGTATGTTCTAATCCAACCCTCTGACATCCATCTGACAAGATATAACTCACCTTTGCAGATTTTTGTGGAATGCCCCAAAGGCCAGGAAACTTGGGTTCCAGAACTTGCGTGTAATGGGCTTTAGTACTCTTAGTTGCTTGTGGCTCTCTTTTGATGAAATGGGTCAGCCTTCCATCTGTTCCCATGTCTCCATGTCCCCATCTGCTGCCTCTATATCCTACAATCCAGCAGTGAGGATAGACCCTGATTATTCACCCAGACATAACATGGTATAAAGTTAACACAGGAATTGGTTAGGAGCTTGTGCTGCTCTTCCCAGAACTGAAATGTGTTTACTCTTCACCTGTTTAGGTATTCCAAGCCACTGGGATCCCAGGCTGCGTCACCAGGCTGAGACAGCACAGCATCTCTTGAGTTTCCCGTATCTGAGGAGGGAACTGCCATCAGCCCCCTTGCCACAGAGGGTCAAGGACACTGCACAGACATGATCACACGCTGGCTGTCACACCTTCCATTCCCTCTCTCCCATTATCCCGAGCTACTCAGCCAACCTGGGCCTTGGAATGATCTCTTGTGCATGTGAGTTAAAATAGCTGTCACAGGCTGACAGTCTAGCACAGGCTGAATCAGAATGCACGTGTGCCCTCACTGCAGGAACTCTCTGTGTAAGTGAACGGAAGCAGTGGTTGCCTTGAGGATGACTGACGTCTGCTTGTTTGCCTCATAGGGACTGCAGAGTTCTTCACCTTAACATACTCTGACCGTAGCTGTAGCCACGGGGGAAAAGTAACTGCCCAAGCTTCAATAAATGATCCCGTGTCTATGATCATGCAAGCAGCCCAATTAAACTCAGGAGGGCTTGGGCACACATACACACACATGCACGCATGCACATGTAAAAATAACCAGAAACTTATACATTGGGCTGTAATCTGTCCCCCTGCCCCAGGAGAACAGAAGCTTGTGTGTCAGAGGGCCCTGAGTACTTCCCAGCAAAGAAGTCTGCGTGCCTGGTGGCTTGTTTATTGGGGTAACAGGCTAGCTTATATGTAGCTTGAGGACAGAGGAACAGGAGAACACACCTAATTTGCATACAAGGGTCCGATTTAAGGACAGGCAGGCTTTATCAGCTCAAAAACCAAAGAGTCCCCGCTCAGGGAGTAGTGAAGAGAGGGGGCCGGACATGGCGTCACTAGGGGAGGAGCATCCCTTAGTTCATCAGCTGACGGGCAAAATAACGTATGCTGGCGCCAGCTTTCTGGAAGGGGCGGGAAAGGCTTGCAGAATTTTTAAATGACTTGACCTTTTGTCCTTATGAAGTGGATCCAGGTTTTTCAACCCACGTTGGGAAGAAACGCCCGACGCCTACTGTAAATCTCTGACAGACTTGTTTGATCCTGGAATTCCACATTTTTGTTTTGCTTGTCAACTTGACACAAGCCGGGGTCACCTGGGATGAGGGAACCTCGGTTGACAGTTGCCTCCATCAGATAGGATGTTGGTGAGTCTGCAGAGGTCTTTCTTGGTTAGTGATTGACGTGGGACGACTGAGCCCATTATGGGTGGTGCCTTCCCTGAGCAGATGGTCCTGGGGTGGTTAAGTCAGCAGGCTGAGCAAACCAGGGAGAGCAATCCAGTTAACAGCATGGCTCCAGGGATTCTGCTTCTGTTCTTGCCTCCAGATTCCTGCCATGGCTTCCTTTCTTTTGTTCGTGGAAATAGAAGGTGAACTAAGACTTGCGTGCATGAAATTGGCGAAGCATGAAATGATAAATATGTACTGACATTCGATCTCGTCGGTGAGCAGTATTAAATAACTTTAAGGAATTGTGGGGGCGGGGGGCTGGACAGAGGCCTTCCTCGGTGTTATTCTGTGCAAGCCCGAAGAGGTCCCGAGCCCTGGAGACACACATTTTGCGACAGAAGTGGGGACTAGAACTTGGTTTTAGGTCCCCACTCAGAGAATGGGTAAGGGTGTGTGCAACAGATCTCATAGTGGAGACAGGTCATAAAGGAGCTGGGGGGGGGAGTGGGGGGAGGGAGCATTGTTGCTGTTGTTGTTTTGTAACAATTCATTCTCCTGGAAATTAACAAGGTTTCTGGGAAAGTTACATCAGTCCTTACAAAAGGTTGCATCCGTTGATCTGATTACCTTCTACTAGGCCTTAGCTCTTAAAGGTCCGATCACCACCAGGGCACACTCTCAGGTGTTAACAGCCAGTTAGCCCCCAAATATGTTTCTCCAGATCTTGACCCCACTAAGTTGATCTGCATATTCATATATGTGACCATTTTTGAGTTAAAGGCTCTACTCACTCCTAAACTGATCTTTCCAGTCCAACATCCAACACCTTAAAATATCACCCAAGCCAAGTAACAACTTTCCCACATATCATCAATCAGTGAGGTTTTTAATTTAGAAGTTCTCCAGTCTGTCATCAGCACTACCCATGTGCTGGCTGTGCTTCAGTATCAGCAGCCTGATTTAACGCAGCCGCTTCCTAAGCTGGATGCCTTTGGGAGCTCAAGCCTGTCATCCTTAAACTCATGTTCCGTACTGTTTCCGGAATAAGCTATCAAACATAATTCTACAGTCAATAAAAATGGCAAAAGATCCCATATCATAGAAAAGTGTCATTCTGTAAATATGTTTCTCGTATTGGTTCATGAATAAAAACACTGCTGGTCAAAAGGAAAGCAAGATAGGTGGGACTAGGAGATAGAGGAGGAAAGACGGAGAGAGAAGAACTCGGAACCCTCTCGCCAGTAAGATAAGACCACGTGGAAACATTTAAATGAATAGAAATGGGTTAATATTTAAGGCAGAGCTAGCCAATAAGAAATGCTAGCACCAGGCCAAAGAGATTTTAAAAAAAAATGCATGATTATTTTAAAAAATTATCTCAAAATAAAAATATACCACTAACACACCCACAACATGTATTTAATATATTAAAATATATTGATACTTTTATAAATAAAACCATTGTACATGGTAGATACATGATGAAATTTCTGATACAGGTTATATATAAATCAACAACTGATTCAAAAATGTATGAAATTTACATCTTTCCTTAAAAATCACCTAACCTGATTTTACAAAATTATCAAAAGTGAAAAAGTGCTCAACGTGATTCCATTATCACATCATCGGACCCGAGGCCGTTGGGCTGGGGAGCCGACAGGCAGGGGTTCTCGGACGGACAGGGTCCTCATCCTGCCCACGGCCCGCTTCTGCAGCTGAGCGGGTCTCCGCACGAAACCCCGGACCAATACTGGAGCTTGTGGAGACTCTGCATCCGAAGCCCACACGGGAGCACCCTGCCACTCAGAATGAGCTGGCACTTCTTTTCGGCACGTGTGGAAGTAGAGGTAGGATGACGTCCTCTTCACAACTGGCGATTAAATAAAGGGCGGCTGAACCGGAAAGGGCTCTAAGGCCTTTTCTGCGTTCCTCCAGTTGTGGAAATTCTCTCGGTACCACTCAACTGGCAGGAAAATCAAAAGAGAAAGACAAGGTGTAAAACATGCATCAATCAAACGTGATTCCTGAGTCCCTGCGGTGTCAGGGACGCACCTTCAAGCTGACTAGCAGGAACTGTCGCCTGAAACGCCCTGGGAACGGTAGGAGCTACTGCGTTCTGTGGCTGAAAGGCAGTCCCTGCAGCAGACCTGCGGGAATGCTGACCACATTCGGACTGCAGAGATCTCAGGCGAGGAATGCCATTTGTGCTGCCTTTAAACCCATTTTACAGCAAAAAGTAATACCTACCCATCTAAGCACAGTGACACAGGATTAGCAACTATTAACTAGGGGGGGTGGGTTTCCAGTGCACACTATCAGGAGACGTCAGTTTCCGGTGCGCACTATTAGCTCAAAGCTTTGCACCAGGCAACCCAAGTCTAAGTAAGAATGGAAGCTATTATTTGCTTTTGTTTTTAATACCTGAACAAAGTATTTTGTATTTAAAGTTTTTAAAATCTAGTCCTTCTTTTGTACATTTGAGTAGATCCTTTCCTAGGAATACAATTCCCATGGTTTTTGCTGCTGTTTTGTTCTGTCAACTGAGATAGGGTTTCACCATGCAGCCCTAGCAAGCCTGAAACTTGTCATGTAAACCAGGCTGGCCTCAAACTCAGAGATCCTCCTGCCTCTGGCTCCTGAGTACTCACATTAAAGGTATGTTGCAACACACACACACACACACACACACACACACACACACAGTTTCTCATTTTCCTAGTGTTTTTCTGTGCACTTTAAATTTACAGAAACTTTCATCAAAGCTAAGACTCCACTGGTGGCAATATGGACACCATTTTACAGACCACTGAGACAGAAGGCGTGACCGATCACAAAGCCCGCCTTTCAAGAACACAAAGGAAGCGAAGACCCAAGCACCTGGTGAGCTGAGCAGATGCAGGAGGGGCAGTGGGAAGTCAGGTCCATTAAACTCAAGATGCTCAGCAACAACTGCTAGACACGAAAAGCTAGAAACAGCTGGGGGCAGGCCGGCCATCACCCGGCCCGCACACCTCTGGGGCTCTGAAATGGGCTGCCTCTCTTCCACTGGTCTGCATGCCCCCAGATGACCCACTGGTTACTTACCCGTTTTCTTTATTCCTTCTTCCCAAGGCACTTTGGGCTTCCATCCTAAACTGTGAATCTTTTCAGACTTCATTGCATATCTCATGTCATTGTGAGGCCTTGGAAAGCAAAGATTTAAGATGACATTGTGAACACACATCTGCACATCTGACCAAGACAGAATGCATACTCACACATCTTTACTGTGAACACACATCTGCACATCTGACCAAGACAGAATGCACACTCACGCATCCTTACTGTGAACACACATCTGCACATCTGCACATCTGACTAAGACACAATGCACACTCTACACAACTTTATCATAGTTCACGTTAGAACAGACTCATGCTGGGGACATGCTTATTGTGGAAAAACGTTACAAAGTTTATACAACCCATATTTACTAATGCCTCACATTCTCCTTTCAATAACTTAATTATTTCAGCCACAATTCAGGTACAAATGAAGTGCCTGACATAGAGAAGGAAATTAACAGTGTTTGATGAGTTAATGAATAAATCACCAGGAACAAGTGAAGGCTCCTGGGTGCCAAGCCTGGGGCTAGATGCATCGGCTACCTTCTAATTAACCCTTAGAGCGCTTTCATAAAATAACGACCCAATTTCTCAATGGAGAAAGCCCCACACTGGGGAGGAGTTATTGGCCCCTGGCCCATGACAGTACTGCCCTTAGTCTCTGTAGCACTTGTAATTGGGAAGACAAATTTGTCAGAAAACTCGTGTGTTCAACTACTTTTCCAGCAAGTTCATCTAGCTTGTAGTTTTACAAGCACCTAAAGCTTCACGTCTTCCCCGGAAGTCCCAACGTGTTACTCACCTGTCATTCACGTAGTCCACCCACCTTTCCGTTTCAGACTCTGAACTGGTCTCTTTGATCTGTCAAAATCAGCAAACTTCTGAGTCACGCTACACAAGGAGGCCACAGGGCAACAACAGTATTTAATAGCTGATAGAAGCTGGCGAGAAAGAGACAACTGCCTCCAGCGGGAAGGGAGGAGGGGCCGCAGCAAACTTTCTACCCTTTGCAAGCTGCGCTGCGCCCAGAGCTCATAAAGAGTATGGGCTGCATGTCCCCAGGGGTTCGCCTGGCGCCCAAGAGGAGCAATTCCCACTGGAGCCCAGTTACTTCATGCCCCACTCTCGTTGGCTCTGAGGTGAGTTCCTACTTCTGAAGCAGGGGTGCCTCACAGCTACAGGATGTGCACTAACATCCTTCCCGAAGAACGCACGCCATTTCACAGAGACACATGGTGTAGGTAATTACGACTTTATTTTCCCACCTGTCCATTTTTAACTTAAGTAAATGGGAAGCCACTGATTCTGAAGTAGTCATGGGAAATTTCTCCTGTTGGCTGAGTCCTTGTGCCCCGTGGGTGGTGCCGCTTGGGGACACTGCATAACCGCAGGAAGTGAGGCCTCGCTAAACGGGGGGCCACGCGTGGAGGCTTGACAGCCCCACCCCCCGGAGAACTCTAAACTGAGATGAACTCTCTTTCCTTAACTTGCTTGTGGTCACGCTGTTTCAGCAGCAGGAAAGTAACTAATACACGGGGCGACTAAATTCTTCGTCACTGCCACCAACTGGACGACCACTTCATAAACGCCCTGACAACAGACACGCACATACCAGCTGTATTAGTTCCTTCGCAAGCTGGACAACCGACATTTCAAAGCTGGTCCCAATGTTGTAAATTTCCCCTGGTTCTCCCTTTCTGAGGACGGTGAGGAAGGCTTCCGCCACATCAGCCGCATAGAGGAAGTTTCTTCTTTGAAGCCCTGATCCGTGAATACAGCTAAATGGGTTAAATAAAGCAGAGTTATAAAATACACAAAAGATGCTCCCAAGCCAGGCGTAAGCAGGGGCAGGCGTGACTCCCGAGAAGCCAGCTTCTAGAGGCCCTAGAAATCCGTGACTATAAAGACTCAGTTCCCTTAGAATTTCTTCCTCATTTCTGAAATGATGCCCGAACTTCTTGAGAAGTTTTAATTTCAAAAGTGGAAAATACGGCTCCCTAAGACAGATTTGTTAATTTTATACCATAATTCATTCTGAAGAAACACCTAAGCTGGTGGACTGTAACTCCACTTGGAGGACCGAGACAAAAGAGTTCCATGTTCAAGGCTGGCCTGAGCAATTTCAGAAAGTTAAACAATCAACGATAACGAAATCGCAGGGCTCGGACGGAGCTGGGGCTACAGCTGGTTATCACAGTGCTTGTCCAGAACCTGACGGCCTGCTTCCAAGCCCCAGAACTTAAAAATAATGGGAAAACGAAAAGTAAAATCCACATCTCTATATTAAATTAACCATTTGGAAATATGAACTAATATATATAGATGTCAAGATTTTGTCTTGCAACTCTAAGTTCCATGGCAGATAATTTCAGAATTTACTGTAGTAAATTATGAAGATGCAGTTCAGTTTTTGGCAAGCTATCACATTAAATGGAGAAAGCATTCCTACATGGCAGAATGTTCAAATCCTTGGCCTCTATAAGACTTTAGACGTCATGGCTTTTAAAGATTGCTACAGAATACCAAAATACCGAATACCGAATACCAAAATAGCATAGAGCATATAAATGCAAAAATAAAAAGCAACATACCATTTCCTGTCATGCTGGAGCAAAGATATAAATTTTGGAATAACCTAGAAGAATATTTAAATGTCATTTCAGACTTTGAAAATGACATCGATATGAATATAAACTCATAAGATTAAAAATTGTTTTATATATACATACATACATATACAGAGAGAGACAGTTTGCAGCCAACACACGCCGCCTCTCTGGAGAGTTCTGACGTGAAGGCAGGCACCAAACATCACTTCCATATAAGCACCCGCTCAGTCAGCCCAAGCTTGCCGCACCTTTCCCTAACGAGCTTTTAACTTTGTGTACCCTGACACAACTGCAGACCAGTCTTAGGCGCTACGTAGGGCAATGTCGGAAGGGCTACGCGGTGCTTTAGGATGCAAGGAGACGGCGTGTGCCCACGCACATCCTAAATGCTGTCATTTCCCCCAATTTAGAGACCAAGGCACGCCAGCTGGCGGGCCTCAAGTTGATACTTGGGAGTGAAATCTTCAAACTCTGAATGTGATGAGCTCTCGAGCAACCCCCACAGAGAACGTAACTATGCACAATTACAACGTGAACTGTTCCAGACGAGTAACTGCTGAAGATTGCTTTAAAGAAAGCCACTCGCTAACAATTTAGAAATGGCGCTTACCTTTTCAGGGTACTGATGTGGTCCATAAACATTACTGCTTCTGGTGATGACAACTGGAAACTTAGAGAACATTCAACATTAGCGGGAGGGAAGGACCCAGCAATCAGTGCCAGCCCACAGTGAGGAGCCTGCCAGGTAAGCTTATAAAGACAAGCCCGCACCTGTAACCCTGACACTCCTGAGGCTAACACAGGAGGGTCCCTAGTTCAAGACCAGCCCAAGCTATGCAGTGGGACCTGGGTGTTTTTGTTGTTACTTTTTTTGTGTTTTGGTTTTTTCTTTTAAGTCAGGCCTGGTGGTGCATGCTTTAATACGAGATGTCAGGAGGCAGGGGCAGGTCGATCTCCGAGCTTGAGGCCGGCCTGGTTTACATGGTAAACTCCAGGTCATCCGAGGTCACATAGCACGATCATATTTTTAAAAAGACAGGAGAGGACAGGGCTCAAATAACGGCCGCAGGCCAACAGGAAGTTGGACAGGAAGTTCACAAGGCTCCTTCTCGTGTGGAGACAACGGGAAGATGGATATAGAGGAAGGCACAGAGTCAGGTTAAACACTGAGGCCTTCCACACCATCATTTCCAACATGGCTTCCAGCAGTCTACATTCCATGAGACAGTAGACATCAACTTGACTCTATCCACTGAATCTACCCTACGAATAAAAAGGATCACCACAAGAAGCAAGGGAACACCAAGGAACTTCTTGACTTGCCTTTCTGAATCAGCTCCTAATAACCAATATGGCCACTGGGAAGCCTAATTAATATATGACATTGGAGCTGCTAATACTTGTTTTGTAATACTTGTTTTGATTAGACTCCCAGACGCAAGCCTTCAAGTCCACCTCACGTGGGGCCAAGACTGTTTGACTCACGCAGGGAAAGCACCTGCTGGGAAAGGGATCTGTGATTCTACCACCTGGCAGGGTTCCCATGGAGCGCCTCTCTAACCCTGTGATGTTCTATCATTGCAATAGGATCAAATGTGTTTCAGCTTAGTGCTTTTATGAGGAGATGAACACAAGGTTCATGCAATGTAAGATTTCAATACTTATAAGCCCGTAATACCTAAGTTTTTAAACTAGGTCTTCTATGCCACAGCTGACTTAGAATGCTAAGAAATCGGGCCGTGAGATGGGTAAGAGCAGGATGACCTAGCTCCATGCCTGAACCCACAGGGTGGCAGGGAAGCAGTGGCTTCCATAAGGTGCCCTCTGATCAGCAGGCTCATATTACAGAACACAATACATACATGCACTCACCCGCACGATAAATAAATAAATAATAAATGTTAACACATACTTTCAGAAGTCAGCGTTTACCTTGTATCGCTCCCAATAAGACTGCACAAAGCACTCAGCAGCTGCTTTAGATGAGGCATATGGGTTTGTAGGTTGTTTGGGCGATGATTCATCAAACTCCTAGTTTTAAAAGTATACATTTGAATTACACACATTCTCTAAGTAGAAAACATACTACAAGGTCTAAGTGTGTGACTCAACAATAGTATTCTGTGTTACACTCAAGGGAACCCAGGTTCAGGTCTAGTACACACATACGTGAGTGCACGCCACCACACACACACACACACACACACACACAGAACCAAACAAAACTGAAAACCAACCATACTACTAGTTTGAAATGTCAGTCACTACAGCTAAGAAACCATGCCTTGCTCTGGTGGACATACCCAGGATTCCAGAACTTGGGAGGTAGAGGAATTGAATGGAGAATTGAAACTCTGTCTCAAAAAAAGACAAAGAGAAACCCAACAACACAGGAACCCTTTGAATTCCCGCAAGGGAAGAGCAGTAGCGCAGCGGGGTCTTAGAGACCAGCCCCGGGGAAAGGAGACAGAAAAGGAGGCCACTGAACCCGTGGGAGGGCATACTACAGCACATCCATGTTCTCAGGCATTTAAAATATTTTTAAAGACTATTTATTACTTTTATATGTATGTGTGTGTGCACGAGAGTTTATGGGCAGCACATACATGCAGGAATCCCTGGATCTGTAGGAAGGGAGTCACACATTGTAAGCAGCCACACGGATGCTGGGAGCCAAGCCAGGGTCCTCTGTACCGGCAAGGAGCCATCTTCCCAGCCCTGTATTTATTAATTTGAGACAAAGTGTCACTAAGTTACCCAGGCTAGCTTTTAACTTGGGCTCCTCCTGTTTCAGCCTCCTTCAGAGCTCAGCCTCCTTCAGAGCTCAGATTATAGTCCTGTGCCACCAGGCCTGGCTAAAATTTGTTTACAGCCATCTTGGGTGAATAAGCACAGTCTTAGGGAATCTTGGTATAGCTGACTGCAGTTACTGTGGCAACATTCTAAAGCTCCCCACTGAAAGGAAACTCGTGTAATTATTTCGTTATAAAAACGACTGTCAGAATAGCTTACATAAGAGAGCTAAAAAGAAAATTGGTAGCAGGCGAAATGACAGGTGAGGTCAGTATTGTGCAGTCAATAAATAATCCTCCTGGGCGGAAGGACAGTTGCACGGACTTGGGGCTGGGCAGGACCTTCCCTGTGCACCACCCAGACGCTGCTAAGTGCTTCCGATCAAAGCAAAGCTGTGACATACATGGTCCCCAAACAAGGGGAAAGGGACAACATGTCCTGAGCAAATCGGGAGCACAGGGGGAGGGAGAGGTATTTAGGAGAAAGAGGCTATCTTAAATATCCTTCCCCTATAATGAGATTGATGACTACTTCATATGCCATCCTAGAGCCCTCATCCAGTAGCTGATGGAAGCAGAAGCAGACACCCACAGCTAAACACTGAGCCAAACTCCTGGAATCCAGTTACAGACATGGAAGAGTGATGAGCAAAGGGGTCAAGACCAGGCTGCAGAAACCCACAGAATCAGCTGACCTGAACAAGAGGGAGCTCATGTAATCCAGACTGATAGCTGGGAAACCAGAATAGGACAAAACCAGGACCTCTGAACGTGGGTGTCGGTTAAGAGGCCTGGGCAGTCTATGGGGCCTCTGGTAATGGAACAGTATTCATCCCTAGTGTACAAATGGACATTGGGAGCCCATTCCACACAGAGGGATACTCTCTCAGCCTAGACACACAGGAGGGCCTAGGCCCTGCCCCAAATGATGTGACAGACTTTGATGATCTCCTATGGCCTCACCCTTTCTATGGAGCAGAAGAGGGATGGGATGGGGGTCGGTGGGGGGCATGGGAGGATGGGAGGAAGAGGGAACTGGGATTGATATATGATAGCTTCTAGTTTAAATGAGAAACAGCTCTGAAGATGGTCCAGAGAGCAGGCTAATACCATACCAAACATGCACACACAGGGGGTGCTGGGAGCCCTTTCTAAAACAACCCACACCAAAACGTGTTTTAATTCTCACAAACACACACTTACACAAGGAAATCTATAGCTTTACTGGGTAACAGTTGGGAGCTTACATATCAAGCATGGTAGTATTTGAAGATTAAAACTTCAGAAATATGAGAGACCATACTCTTCTCTGCCTAGTTTAATTTTTGACTGCTATTATTCTTTCAGTCTGTATAAGACCACAAGGCAGTAGTAAAGTGTTAACTGTGTAGAAATTATCTTAACCATTAATAACTTTTAGAAATAAGCATCCAATACCTGTTACATGCACACAGATATATTTTTGAGGCTTCTCTCTGGTACCTTCTTAATTTCAGGGCCATTATAACTAGCAGTATAGATAATTTTTTAAACTTTATTTAATTTTATTTTTATGCATTGGTATTTTGTCTACATCTATGTCTGTGTAAAGGTGTCAGGTCCCCTAGAACTGAAGTTATAGACAGTTGTAAGCTGCCATGTGGGTTCTGGAAATTGGACCCATGTCCTTTGGAAGAGCAGACAGTGCTCTTAATCACTGAGCCATCTCTCCAGCCCTGCAGTATAGGGGTTTACTCTGAGGCTTTTGTTTTTATCTGCTGCTTAGGATCAAGCCCAGGACTTCACAAACACTGGAAAAGTACTCAACATGGAGCTGGACCCTAGCCTGTTACTTCCCATCAACTCTGAGCTACACCCTAGCCTGTTACTTCCCATCAACTCTGAGCTGGACCCTAGCCTGTTACTTCCCATCAACTCTGAGCTGGACCCTAGCCCGTTACTGACTCCCAAAAGAGCATGCCTTTAAGAGAAAGGACCGGAGGAAAGGAAACTGGACCGAAGAGTGGTTCTATCTTTGTCTAAAAAGCACAACAATTAGGAACGGCTTCCTATGAACAGGGCCAGGTGTGGTGGCACATCCCTGTGAAACCCGCATTGGGGACACAGAGCAGGAAGACCTGAGGGTTAATATCAAACTGAGCAACGCAGGGACTTCCAGGCCAACTGGGCGCACCATGAGACCCTGTCCTCAAAACATCAAGGAAGGGGCAGATTCCAGCTCCAACAACAATTCTGCAGCACTCTTCACAACGGGCTGACGTGTCTTCCTGCCCAGAGAAGGTGAGCAGGGGGATGCTACATGCATCATCACGCTTTACCACTGAGACTAAACGTGAGACCTGCTGCTGTGTTGTACGACAGTCAGACCCTGAGTAAATCTGTGCCAGTGAAGTGGTAACCCTTGACAGGAACAAAGGAGCAGGAAGGAGCGTTATGGAGGTGACGCCAACAAGACACGCCCTATACAGGCACAGCGCACGCACGCAGAGTGCGCTCTCCACACTTACCTGATCGAGACTGCCTCCATACACTTCGTCTGTGCTGACGTAGATAAATTTCTCCACTCTGGCTTCGTACGCAGCACTTACCAAAACATGAGTGCCATAAACATTGACATATGTGAACTCAAAGGCACGGACAAACGAAAGATCTAAAAAGGACGAGAGAAAAGCTATAGTAATTCCGTTTCCGGGGCAAAACAAACATCAAAAATCTGACTCCGTGTTAAGGGTTCGTACTTCCCATTCCTCACCACGGCTGCAACAGGGTTGACAAATAACACAAGGGCACTGATTCATACTTGCTTTCATGTGTTCTAAGCTGGCCGCAAACTTACTATGTAGCTGGGCATGACACTGCTGTGTATGTATTGTGTGTGTGTGTGTGTGTGTGTATGTAGTGTGTGTGTGTGTGTGTGTGTATTACACATCAAGTGTGGAGCCATCCTCTCCTTCAACCACGTGGGCTCTGGGGATCAAATTCAGGTTATCAGGCGTGCACAGGAAGAGCCTTTATCCACTGGGCTATCTCACTGACCTAATCTTGAACTTTCTGATCGTCCTGTCTCTCACTCCCAAGTGCTAGAAGAGGCAAACATGAAGAACAGGTGAGCAGCCTGAGACCTTACTTAATTCTGGTCACGTGCCCACTCGGCAGGCACCTGGCAACCTCAACCCCCTCCGACTCCTACCTACACTGGGCTCCACGGCTTCTGACTGACTACATGTGCCCTCCTCCCTGAACTATAGTATACGTTTCTCTACCCCTAAAAATAACCAAACACAGATAGTTTCTACTCAGACACATTCCTGATGTACCTGGGTACAAGACAGAAAGGCCAGTCCAGCCTGAACCGGTTTGTGGTGCATATACAGTAAGGCAAACCGCACCCTCCTAGGGAACTTTTAGGGTTCTATTTACTATCTTAGATCCAGTGTGGTGGTCTGGATGTATTTGGCCCCCATAATCTCATAGCTAGCGAGAGGCACTATTAGGAGGCGTGGTTCTGCTGGAGTGGGTGTGTCACTGGGGGGCGGGCTTTGAGGAACACCTGTCCAGACTGCTCTCTGAGCCCAGGCGATAAGGAGGACCCTCTGCAGCAGGGCTCCCTCTCTACCCTATTTGGACAGTGTCTCTTCTAGACTCTGACGCCTGATCTTACTGAAAGCTGTCCCGAGCTTGGGTGCCTGACTCACCTTAGATGTGACTTTTGACCCCGCCCGCCGCCCATATGATAACTGGGTGTTGTGTTCCAGCTGTATGGTAGGACCGTGCTGCCAAACTCAAATCAGGAGAGGCTCCAACTGCTGTCCCCATCCCATACATTCCCCTGACCCTGAAATAGAGATGAGCTGTCTCACCGAGGCTGACTTAGGGAAGGCTGTACAAGGCCCCTCATGCCATCTCGGCCCCCTTTGTCCTCGTGGACTGGTGGCCACCAGACCCTGGGGAAAGGGAGTCCCCGGCACACATGCACACACTCGGGAGCATACACTTAAAATAAGTACCTAAAAACTAACATACTTCTGCACACTAGGAGTGGGTGTACAGCAGGTTCTCAACCCTCCTAATGCTGTGACCCTTTAATACAAATCCAGGTGTCGTGGTCACTGCTACTTCATCACTGTAATTTTGCTACCGCTACGAATTGGAATGTAAATATCTGATATGCAAGGGTATCTGATCTGTGACCCCCGGGAAAGGGTCATTTAACTCATGAAGGGTTTACAACCCATAGGCTAAGAACAGCTGTTCTACAATGATGTATTCAAACCCAGAGGAAGGAAATCTGGTGATGTGTAGTCAAACTGATATGCATTTCTCCCTTAATTCAGACCTATAAGCTGAACTTTTCCCCCAAAATCTATGCTGATGCCTACTCCCACAGCACAGTAGAGTGTGGTTATGTTTGGAGACAGGTTTTCCAGAGGAGAGTTAGTCAAAATGGACCCCTGAGGGTGAACACTAATCCAATACTGATGCGAGGGCTCAAACACACAGAAGCCACTCGAGGCCACAGAAAAGGCAGTGCATGCTGGGAAACCTGGAAGCTAAGCAGGGAGCACCTGCTCCACCAGGACAGCATAGTGCCGAGGGCTGTGAGGTTAGGACAGACGGACTCAAGGAGCTACCAGAAGTGCTTCCAATGGGTGCTGGCAGGCGTGGGTGCTCACAACACACCACAACTGACTAAAGCATGCAAGAAACAGGAGTCATGTTAAAATCGTCATGCTAAAATCCATGGTCTCGTAAGAACACTGTGAAGAAAATGAAGAAACCAAGTCTTTGCCACAGAACCCAGTGCACAGGGACAAAGAATAAGTCAGCCAAGCTGGCTGCCACCATCAGCTGAATCTCAAGGTGCCCTAAGAGCTGATACAAAGAACCTGTTTTTAAATCCTGATTTAACGTATGAACGGGGAGAAAAGGACAAGGAGAACATCATCATTACCAAAGCTCAAATGCACCCGAACCTTGACTGAGGGAAACAGTACTATGGAAAACAGTAAGACTGATGTGTGCTGGAACTGAGGGACAAAATTAAACACAACAGACTGGAAAGCTTGTCTGAACACAACGCTGGGCATGAACAGAGGTAAAGGGAGCGATCTGGGAAGACGGCAAAGGTTTCCAGACTTTGGGCTCCGAAACCTAGTTACATTATAGTCAGACAGTTCTTCCCAAGCGAGCTGTGGAAAAAGAAAGTGAAAACAATTCAAAAGATAGCAAGGGGTAAATGTCACGGGTGATCAAACCCATTTTTCAGAAGAAGTCAGATCTAGGCTGAGGTGTGGAGCTCAATGGAGAGTGCTTACCCAGCATGCACAAGCTAAATCACTAAGGCAGACAAGTGCTGGAGATAAATTATAGAGGAGACACCCCGAGACAACACAGCCATAACCATGCCAATTAAAAGGTTTCAAGGCAATCCACATCACCACGGAAGAAAGATCACTTCAGAATTGGGGTGATGGCTCAGTGGGTGCCTGCTGTTCGGGAGAGGACAGGCGTTCAGACCCCAGCACCACACATCGTGCAAGTCTGCAATCCCGAGCTGGAGTGGAGATGTGGATCCCAGGAGCTGGCGGGCTGCCCAAGGAGTCCAGATAGTGGCTTCCAGGTTCAGAAAAACGCTCTGTCTCAGGAGTAAGGCAGAGCACAACACAGGAAGACATGTGACGTTCTCCTCTGGCTTCTGTATGTGCCCACACAGGGCCATCTACCTGTACACACACACACACACACACACACACACACACACACGAAACAATAACATAAAGGTTCAGCTAGCCCAGAACACAGAAGAAATCACTTCTCTCTCTCTCTCTCTCTCTCTCTCTCTCTCTCTTTGTTTACCAAGATATCTCTCACTAAGATATTTCGATATGAAAAATATAAATAGGCTTTTTTTTTTTTTAAACGGGCAAGTGATTTCAACAGTATTTTACCAAAGGAATTTAAATTGTCAGAAAACATAAGAAACATATGATCTCACTGGAAACTTGGAAAAATATAAATTAGACTCTCACTGGTAATCAGAGTCTACCCAACACACAGTACTGAGTTTGGAACCCTGAAGATACACTGACAGGAGCCTGCGCCACAGTGAGACCCCTTCACAAAGCTGGCTGCCACTGTCCCATTACTGAAGAGAGCAAATCTTATGACAGCAGACAGAAGGTGTACTTACCGTGACATGGTACATGGACCGGAACATTCACCACACCACTGCCTACAGCTGCCTAGAAGGACAAGTAACCCAGAGCCTAACAGGGGTCAGATCACACCGGGGAGCTCTCTTGAGTTCTAAGGACAGTGCAGGTTTGTGTCTGCCTCCAGGAAGCATCAGCAGCAGCACCCATCACAGGCGACACAGGTGGACACAGGTGAACCTGTTACTTCCGGTTTCTCTGAGTCTGTGTTGCAAGGTTAACTCAACTGTGAAACCAGCATCATGAATGTACTGCGCTACCACAGAGTTCATGGTGTGCTACCACTCAAGAACAACACAAAACAAAACTGAGGCTCATCGTATTCCTCCCTTTCAGAAGTAACCAGTGCTCTGAATTTGACTCGACTCAAAGTCTTTAGAGCCATTTTCCATGTCCCATTTCAATACACATGAATTAAAAAGTGACCGATAGCAAGCCCCAATTATCTGGGCTGAGGATGTGGCCAGGTGGGTGCAGAGCAGGTGGGCCGAGTAGATCGATCCCCAGAACCCACGGTAATAACAACCAAATGGAAACAAAGCCCTTACCCCATCAGGGACAAGGGGCTGTGCTTATGGCCTGGCCAGTGCATTCTCTTTAAAGACTGATAAGTTCCTGCTTATTCCTTCTATTCCTGGACTTTGGGTTTCTTCACTAGGGAAAGAAGAGGCCAGTCATAAAGACAGCATAAATCGGTGCTTACCTACATGTGTCTGTGCAGCAAAATGCAGGACTATATCTATTTTCTCCATCGCAAACAGCAGCTTCACAAAGTGAGAGTCGCAGATGTCACCCTGCAAGGAATGGCAAACACGGACGGGTGAGGATTCCTGAGCACTCGCCTTCGTAACAACCAGCGCTATCAGCACCCGGCTGTGCTCATCCCGGGGCTTTGCTCATCCCAGGGTTCAACAGAAAAGGTCTTGAAGTCAGTCAAGCAGCCAGCCAAGTAAAACATGACGTGGTTACTCGGTATCTTAGAACATACGCATTTAATTCAAAATATTTTTGCAAATGTGTCTGTCACATACTTGTAAAGCTAAGAGAGCAAGGGCATTTTTTTTAGCACTAAGAAAAATAAATCTTCCAGAGAGCTATACTAACATACATTTAAAACAAGTGTGGCATGCATGCTCAATTCACATATTTTGTCAACTATTCATACGTTTGCCAAGTCCCCAAAACGTCTATGCAGCTTTTTCTGTGATAATCTAAAAGAAGAACTGTCTACGGCATGTACTATTCTGGAAAACATCTGATCTTTAACAGGTTTGCAACACAAAGAAGATGACGATTTCTGGTGACTAAGGAGGCGCGGTCAGCAAAGCTTCCATACCTGTATAAATTTGTAGTTTTGCTTGTTAGAGACGGGTTCCAGATTCTTCAAGCTTGCACAGTAATCCAGCTTGAAGGAGGAGGATGTGGTGCAGAGAAAACAAACCACAAAGCAAGGTCAGGCCCTCCTATGACGAGCCAATTCAGCTTGGAGGTCACAGATGCTACTAAACAATGACACAAGAGTATGTCCCCTAAAAACGCTTCCTGTATTTTACACCCTTAAAGTTTCTGGCATCCTCAAAGTAAAAGCAGGTCATGGCTAATTTTCAAAGGAACAAACCAAGAGAGACTCTGTTACAGATCTCTCTTCAGAGCAGGCCGGATGGCTGGGTGGGTGAAGATACTTGTCACAGAGCCTGGGCCTGGGAACCACATAGTGAAGGAGAAAATGTTGCCTCTCTACATGCAAGCCGGATGCCCCTGCCCCCAAATAAATAAATGACATGGAAAAGAATTCTGTCCACCTGTTTATAACATTAACACAGAAAAAAACAAATAAGCCAACGCTGAACGGGCGCTGTTTCCCTGTATATCTTAACCATCGTGTTTTATGAAAATAAAGCCATTTGCATCTTTTGTTTAAACTAAAACATCATATTCTCTAGGGAGACTTCAACCATGACTATAAAACTGTCAAAACTAAATTAACTTCACTGCTTTTCATTTGTTGGTTTGCTGTTCGTAGATGGGATCTCATGCATCCCTAGGCTGGCCTGCTTTATAGTTCAAGGTTGACCCTCAAGTTCTAATTCTCCTGCCTCTACATGGCTAATGCTCAGATAATAGGCAAGTGCCACTGCAATTGCTTTTAATTATACCCTAATATTAATATATATACATATATTATAAAATATATGATATTATATATGTGTGTGTGTGCACACACACACACACACACACACACACACACACACACAGGTGTTCCTGGGAGGTAGCAATTATAAAATCACAGTATATGTTGAATTTTAAAAAGGGTAAAGCGTTTCTTTTGCTAAAATTGCTGCACTGACAACCTTGGGTTTATAGGCTGGCAAAACGATTTCAAAAGCGTTGACCTAAGACTAAACGCAGCATGAACACATGACAACACAGCCCTCCGAGCTGAATAAATGAGAACCAGGAGGACATCTTTCTACTCAGCACTCCTCAGTTCTCTGGTGCTACTTCTTAATGGTTCCCTGGTACTTTTTAATGATGCGGCCAACAGGGGTCTAATTTTAGAACATGAAGCTCATTTTTCCGATACTTACCTTGTCTAGATTTATGATCATGTAGTTGGGATAATCTTCCACCAAGGAGACAATCACGTGGGATGCACTACGAGGAGAAAAAGAACTTTGTGAGTGACAAACATGGACCTCCCTAGACTCTTAAAGAGTTTCCCTAAGCTATGGAGTAGTAGGAAACATTACACTTTCCCAAGACAACGGAAAGGATGTAACACACCACACTTTTAACCCACCTTCTCAACAGAACCTATAAACAAACTCTCATATGAATTTCTGGAGAGAATAACGAGGAAGCCAGTTTAACCAAATGATGCTGCCCATGCATGCTGTGAGTGTGAGCATGGAAAATATAAGATCTAGTCCGAGCAAGTATACCGAGAGGCAGGTATGCCTTCTCAGGAGCTGCAGCATAATTACACAGATGTTACTTCAGCGTAGACGCTGTCATTTGCCTGTGTTTATACTGACTTCTGCAACTGCCCTCTCCTGGTACTAGCAGTTGGCTGTGTAAGCCTGAAATCTCAGGAGGGTCCTGGACTGAACACAGGTTTCCTAGGCAACACCGCCTCCATAGTTGACACCATGTCGAGTTAGGTACTGACAGTGCTTCCAGCGTTATCAGGGGACCCTGCAAAGGAGCGATCTCAGTAAAATGAGACGCCAGATATTTTTAAACACACTCTGGGTTCTTGGGAGTAAATGGCGAGCACTGACCAGCTGTGAGGACGACGCTTATACTTGGCTTTATACTTATACTCTGGAGAACGGCCCAGACCTTTCTTCCTGCATGTGCTCCATGAATATCAGTCTGCCCTCATAGAGGTTACGTTCCAGAAGCGGGCCAAGGCCACAAACAACAAGTAAATACAAATAATGCAATTTCAGGTCGTTTTAAGTGGCTCTGTTACCTAGGGTGGTCCGCTAAGGGCTCTTAGGTTGATACGTGGGTAGATTAGCACCTGAACTGAACAGCCTCGGCAAAGAAATTAGTGCAAACGTCCTGTGCTCCAAGAACCCTGAGAGCACTGTGGCGGGTACAGAAAAGCCGGAGATTACATTGGAAAGCAGGGCTTGCGCAGCGCGCCTGAGTCTTCAACGCCGATGAAGATGTTGGACTTTCGCATCTCACAGAAACCACGAGTATAAAATCCTATGTGGCTGCAGCATCTGACTTCCTCAAAGACAACGACTTCTGTATGAGGAACACGCTTTAAGGAGTCTCAAGAAAACTCGGGGAGCTCCATCTGGGGGCAGGCACAGCACCCGTGTTCCAAGCAAAGGGAGGCAGTGTCGGGCCCAATGCGGTCAGGACAGGGGTGAGAGGTCCGGGATAAACTCTGACACCGAGTAGGGCAAGCTCATGGATTGTGCTTACCACAGAGGATCTGTAAACGTGTTCTTAAAGAAAACGGGGTGTGTGTGGGGGGGAGAGTCCCACCGTGTCGAGAGAGATGCTTTTGGACAGGCCTGTGCGTGCTGGAGGGAGGCTCAGCAGAGAGAGCAGGGGCAGAGTTCGATGTGCAAAGTGACAGGCAGGTGGCAAACACCCCGGGCAGCAGGGGGGACAGACACTACACCCCGGCCCTCCCGACTCCCTCTATTTGCAGGGCAGGTGCTGAAGAAGCCGCAGGCTCAAAGCAACCCCGTGGTCGCTGGCCCCGCAGTGAGGGAGGCGGGCGGACGTCCCACGCGTCCCGAGCGAGCGTCAGCATCAGCATCAGCACCAGCACCCTCCCGCCTGGGACCCTCCGAGCGCGGACCCGGGGCCAAGACGGGGCGAGCCGCGGGCAGAGGCCAGGGCCACCAGCACGGCTACCTACATGAAGCCAGCGCCCCCGGTCACCAGCACCCGCTTCGCGTAGCTGCCGGGAGGACCGCAGGGCTCCCCCCGGCCCGACGCCGACATCTCTGCGCTCAGCCGCGCCGGCGCCGTGCAGCGCGGAAGCTGCACATCCCAGCGCAGTGCCAGCCACCACGACGTTTTGCGACACGACCCCGCCCCTCGACACGTCAAAAGGAAGTCCGCAGCAGCTTCCGGGTTCTCCGAGGGGGCAGGAGAGGGCGAGGGAGGGCGGGGGAGGGCGGGGGAGGAGGGCGGCCGTGGCACTGCGCAGGCGCAGGCTCTATCTATGGTTGGGGTTACTGGGGAGCTAGAGTCTGGAAGACAGGTGTAACCCACGTGGGTCACTTGTGTAGACACTTAGAAGTTCGGAGTTATGAATGGATGCCTTCGTTCTTTCTTAAAATGTATTTGCTTATTTATTTATTTACTTATGTGCATTGATTTTTTTTTTTCCATATGTGTGTGCATTGGGTGTCCAGTCCCCTGGAACTGGGATTACAGATAGTCGTGAGCTGCCTTGTGGGTGCTGGGTACTGAATCCGGTCGTCTGGAACGGCAGTCAGTGTTCTTAACTGCGGAGCCATCTCTCCAGCCCTAGACACCTTCATTCAGTCATGCAGGTAGACTAAACCCCCCAGCTAAGCAGAAGCCTCAGGAATGTATGCAGTGTGGAAATGGGCCGGTGCTCTGCAAGACTGAAGGCTACTTGAAATCAGGACAATGACGATTCGGAGATTCCCCTCTGCCCCCATCCTGGTCCTGCTCTCTCTTCTTGCATTACCAGGCCGGTCCTGCCCTGGTCTCCCTGCCCGTTCATCAAATATCTGTTTGTGTCTTCCCATACTCCTTCAGTTCTCAGTTTGAGTGTCAGCCTATTGGAGTCTTTCCTTGATTCAATTTGAGCAACAACTGATACCGTAACTACACAGATCCACTAGTTTTTCTCTTTTTCAGAGTCGGTTCATCAACGTACCCCCGGCCAGTGATATAATTGCTTACTGTCTCTACCCCATGGAGGCAAGGTCTTTCATTTCTCTGGGACCAGATCTATCAGAACGCTCATCAACAAGTTACATTCGTGATGCAATTGCCCCTGGTATATTAGAACTGTTCTAATGTAGTCTGCGTGCTCTTCATGAATTCTGAGCCTTCCCCAATTGGAATGGTTGGCAGCCATATTCTCTCAAATGAGCACAGGCACCAAAACTCTTCCTTTGGTGTAAGAACGGCATTCTGACCAAGAAGAAAATCGGGAGACAGAAGGAAAGTGCTGACAGTGGTCCAAGCTGATGCTCTGCTTTTCCTTCAGGGACAACCCCGTCCCTGTTCCTGGCTTATCAGTAATACCATTAAAAGTTTAGACAAGCTAAATTTACTAGAGTTTATTTTAGCAAACAATGAAAACCAAAGCAACACTCAGGAAGAAATGGTCAGAGAGCCACCAAGCAACACAGGCAGTCAGTGTGTACAGAAAAGGGGGGGGGGGTACTGGCTCTGTGCTTCACAGCATGCGCTGCTCTTCCAGAGGAGCCAGGTTGGATTCCCCGCACCAACATGATGGTTAAACCACCTGTAACTCCAGCTCCAGGGTGTTGGAAGCCCTGTTCTGGCCTCCACGGGCACTGACTCATTATGGTAAACAAACATTATGTAAACCAAATTCCTGTGTACAAGAGAATAGATTGCTTTTTTGTTTAAAAATGTATTTACTTATTTTTATTTCATATACAATGTTCTGTCTGCATGTATGCCCGCAGGCCAGAAGAGGGCACCAGATCTCATGATAGATGGTTGTGAGCCACCATGTGATTGCTGGGAATTGAGCTCAGGACCTCTGGAAGAGCTGCCAGTGCTCTTAACTGATAAGCCCTTTCCAGACATATTTGTTTGTTTGTTTAAGGTAATGTTTAGGAAAGACTCAAAATTGTGCCTTCTGAAAGGGCTCCCTGATTCAATGCATCTTCTATATACAGGCATAATTGATCAGTTACGCAGGCATTCAAAATACTGGGGGCAGTCTCTGGATAAATTTAGTTTAATACCACATGTATTTGCAGAGACTTATCTGAAAAGATCCACCTGAAAATACTAACAGAGGCTACTTTTCAGTGTTGGTTATCGACAAGGAAACTAAGAAGTCAGACCTTAAAATGTTGTTCTAATCACTTGACTATGATTGTTTTTCTAAGCTGCATGGAAATTACTCTTATATTTAAAGAGAACTAGGGTAATTTTAAAAAGTCTCGAGATATTAATATCCACCTGGCAAGCCACGAGTGCTGATAGGGTTTCTTTACTTAAATGGTGAGGTATGTTGTGAACACATGCTTTTACACTACAGAAATATCTCATTGAATGAAAATAACTTGAGCACACTTGTTCATGGAGTATTTTTCGGTTCCTACTTTCACTTTCATCAAGAGGCTCACAGAGTCTGACCTTTCTGCAATTTACAATAGTTAGAAAGTCAGAAGAACCGGAAGTAATTCACAATATCGTGTAGCACATGGTCTGACAGGGGCGTGAGGCATTCTCGTTCCACTGAAATCCAACTCAGACTCAGGTGTCAGAAAGGTTTCTTCAAGTGTGTTGGGAAGAAACAAAGTGAAACCAAGGAGGAGCGGTTGAGTAAGAAGTACCGCAGCCAGAGGAATCTGCAAATCTCATCAACACAGAGCCTTGGAATAGTCACGGGACATATAGCATTAGGATGTGTATTCGTTGAGAGATGGAGTTTTGAAATATTTGAGCCCATATTCTAAAGACCGAGGCTTGTATACTAAACGCGATGAAGGAAGGAAAGTAATGCTAGGAAAGGGTGTTTTTTTTTTTTTTTTTTTTTTTTTTTTTAAGCAGTCTCTAACTTTACAGTCAGAGGTGGACCGTGGCTACGCAGAATTAACACAGGAAGGAGGGCAGTTGCCACAAGCCAATTCAGTGATGGCTGAATAGTACGGTGGCCGCTGCTTCCTATCGTCACCAGAGGAAAGGCCGGTGGATACTTGATCAGAGGCGTGATGAAGGTGGTCGTTGCTAATTCTCAGCTGCGTGGCCTGACGGATGATGATATAATTCAGCCAGACCCGGGAACCCTACTCGTGGAAGGAAAAAATCGTTTCGGTGCCAAGAGAAGTTAGGCTTTTCAGTTTGGCTATGTGAAATGTCCTTGCAGCAGCATTCAAGTGGGCATAGACGCAGAGAGCAAAGAACGTTTTCCAACTTTGAGGGAGTTTTTCCTGGCAGCAATAGTTCGGCCACGTATTTCTCGGTTCTTTCCTGGAAAGCCTCAGACGTCAATGACAAGCGCGCCAGTGCGCAGCGGCGCAGCGCGCAAGGGATACCCAGGGCGACTGTTTCCAGTATCCCGACGCAGCATCCCCGGAGGGCTCCGTTTAAAACCGGCGCCAGGCAGCAGCTCGGCCGGGGAGCTTAGGGACCCGCGGGGCTGCACGTCCCGCCCAGCGCGGCCGATGATTGGCGGCCGTCTTCGGCTCGTGGCGGTGATCCCGCGCCTCATTGGCCGTCCCTCTCGGGCTCCACGCCCCCTCGGCCCCGCCCCGCCCTCCGCTGCGGACGTGGGCTGCAGGCCCCGGGCGGTTGCCAGGCGCGCGAGCGAGCGGGCTGCGGGCATGGGCGGTCTGCGGCTGCTGGCGCTCGCCCTCACGTGCAGCTGCTGGTGGCCGCAGGGCGGCCAGGGCAAGACCCTGCGGGGCAGCTTCAGCAGCGTCGCGGCCCGGGACGCCCAGGGCCAGAGCATCGGCCATTTCGAGTTCCACGGTAGGTCCGGGGCGGGCCGAGGGATGGAGGCGCGCGGCCTCCCGCAGGCCCGGGGTCGCTGGGCGGCGGCCGCGGCGCCTCCCTCCCGCCACGTCGTCCCGGCCTCACCTGGATCCCCGCGTCACCGCGGCCCTGGCGCCTTCACCGGGCCGTAGCCCGATGCGCCCGAGAGCGGTTTCCATTTCCCCGACGCTCCCCGTGCAAGCGGGGCCGCCCTGATGCGTCCTCCCGGAGCTGTCCCCCCACAACTCCGCACTTGGCCTCATTGTGTGCCTTTGGTCCCCGCGGTTGGGAGTGAATGTCAGCCCAGGAAACCAGCCTTCCTGTTGTTTGTAACAGGGAACCTACCTGGAGCGGGTTTGGAATGTGTCATTTGCCCCAGCAGTTTGGTTACAGCGCTGCCGTGCAACAGATTTACTGTGTGCCCAGAGTTCGGTTGGTGGAAATGCGTTTTGAGCGTTTAGAAAGTTCCGTGGGTTGATTTTAGGTGTTTAGAAAGTTTCGCAGCCTGCCTGGAATGGCTGCATTTCATTCTTACTTCCTGGCATCCGCCAGGAAAATCAGTAACTCTTCCCTTTAGGTTTGTAAATTTCCGATTCATTCTGTTAGTTTTGCCCCCATTCATTTGCTCTCTTAGTATCTGTCTTCTTGGCACTTTGAATTTGACGTTACTGCATTTCAAGTGAGTAATTTCCTTAATGCAGCTCAGCTAGTATATGATCGAGATGCATTAGAGATGTAGCTGTGTCTATCAGTGTGTCCACTTAGGTGCTCTTAGGAGCCGATTACAGAAATGAGAAGCTACATTGGTGTGGGAAAGAATGTCAAGCCCTGGACACTCGCAGAATTGATGGTGTAAAGGGATGCTTTTAAACCACAAAAACTGAAGGTTTCACAATGTCTGGGGAAAACATGCCAATTTTCCAAAATCTGTACATATGTGAGTGAAGGAAGAAGACCCCCCCCCCAATAAACCATTTTGTTGTATTTTTGTCATATTCTCAGTGTCTTAACCTCCTTGTGGTGGTCCTTTGAGAACTGACAGTGCTGTCTGGTCTGTGAGCTGGTAAATCGAGGATCAGTGCACGCTGTGATCTGCAATGCTCATGCCCCATGGGGATACATACACATAACCCTGATCATGGTTACCTTGTGAACACAGAGGGGAAGCATGAAGGAAATCTGGGTTATCAAACACCCCACAAGAAGCGTTACAAGTATCACCTGAATTAAAAAGATACGTTTCATAAGGCTCATGACAAATTAGGGAAGTTTCTCTCTTTGACATATTATGCACACATAATTCCCTTACACATGGTTCTTGCCAGGTTTTGGCCAATTGCAATTTAATTCACTAAAGCTGTGCTGAACAACTAACTATAGCTTACTACCATTTAATCCCAGTATTTAGGAGGCAGAGGCAGACAGGTCTTTGTGAGTTTGAGGCCAGCCTGGTCCACAAAGTAAGTTCTAGGACAGCCAGGCTGTTACATACAGAGAAACCCTGTCTCCTGTCTCTCAACCCCTCCCAAACATGTACGTGTGTGTGTGTGTGTGTGTGTGTGTGTGTGTGTGTGTGTGTGGTACTAATGTATTTATGCTAAAAAGATACTTTAGCAAAAAGTATAGATTAAGAACAAATGTATAAGGTGAATGAATCGGATTGTAAAGTGAAGCAGAAATTCTACGATGACTGTCCATGTGTCCCAGATCATATTCTTTACTCAGTGAAACGTTGCCAACTACCACAGCAGTTCTACAGTTACTTTCATGTTGGATAAACTCTTACAATGCTACCAATTGTCATAATATTACAGAGATATTTCCATATTGGGTATACTCTTACAATGTTACCACCTATCACTATAGTTATACAGTTATGTTCCATGTTGGGTAAACTCCTACCCCTGAATGAGATGCTCCCTATGTTGTGAGTAATTTGCATGAATGTGATTTAATAACGTAAAATTCCCACATTGCTTTGTGGAAGTACTGTCTTAGTTCTCTGTAAGACCAAACTAGTTGACAATTTTTGTTTTAATGTCAAGGTGACCATGCTCTTCTGTGTGTCAGAATCAACAACATAGCAGTGGCTGCTGGGAAGGAAGCTAAACTCTACCTGTTCCAAGCCCAGGAATGGCTAAAGCTTCAGGAGAGCAGTCCTGGGCATGGCTGTAGTGAGAGGTTGTCCAGAGCTCAGTTGACAAGTGAGTATATGTCGAAGCACAGTACAACATGGTCCAAATATGTATATACGAAGATATATAATTGCGACTACATACATATGACCGATGATGTTTTGGTTATTATGTTTTCAGCTTTGTTTTTCAAAAACTAACCATTTCCTTGTTCAAAAGATAGAATACTTTTTCTCCTTTCATCATTCCAAAAGTTCTTAAATGTGCAAATAATTTATAAAGGTGTCTTCACTCATACTCTGCGGGTTATGCAGTCCGTGCTAGTATGCCAGACACATTTATCTGGTTGTAGCATGCAGGGAGTAACCCTGAGCAGACATTACCTGCCAGCTGTGCACTAAACATGTTATTTCACACAACTTAGCCCAAGTGATGCTGCTTGATAGCATGCCTTTGAGACTTAGTTGCATGATGGTGAGTAGCAGTGTGTGTGTGTGTGTGTGTGTGTGTGTGTGTGTGTGTGTATGTATGTATGTATGTATGCGTGGAACCACATCACCTAGAAACCTTACCTTAGCAGATGATTTGCCGTCATGATTAGGATGCCAGCCATTGGTGCTGGTGGGGGGGGGGCTTTCATAATGTAGAAATGAAGTGCACATGTCATTCTATCCATTATACCCCTAAAATTAATAGGTTGTGGGAGACATGGTTGGAGAGTCTGTATTGGTTTCTTTTCTATTGCTGTGATAAGAGCACTTACAAAAGGGTTTATGGTTTCCGAGGGGTAGAGACTCTGGTGGCAAGCAGGACACTGGGGCAGTAGCCAGGCCCTCACATGCTGGAACGGCTCGAGTGTTCTAAAACCTCAAGGACTCAACCCTTCCCAAACTGCTCCATCTGCTGGGGACGGCGTGCTCACATATGAGCCTAGGAGGGCCACTCCCATTCCAGCCACTGCAGCGTCCATGGGAAAGAGAGCGCCCACCCTCTGACCCCTTTCTCTTCTGTTTGGGAGCATCACACAGAACTCGCTGATAATTCTCATAACCCAGCCAGGCAGACGTCCCTCTTTAATTTTTTTGTTTTTGTTTATTTGTTTGTTTTTGTTTTTCGAGACAGTGTTTCTCTATATTGCTTTGGAGCCTGCCCTGGAACTAGCTGTGTAGATCAGGCTGGCCTCGAACTCACAGAGATCTGCCTGCCTCTGCCTCCCCAGTAAGGAGATTAAATGTGTGTACCACCAATGCCTGGCTTGATGTGCCATTTTAAATATCTGCTCAGCCATCTGGATGCCTGAGCAGCAAGTGGAGGGGAGAAGGCAGTTCCCAGGTCACCCTTGCGCTGTGTGGATTTGGAGAAGGCAGTTCCCGGGTCACCCTTGCGCAGTGTGGATATTTGCTTCCTAGATAGTTAGCTGACATCTGTGGTATGCTAAAGAGCTGAGTGCTTGGATTCGGATAGCGAAGATATTACAGTTATTTACACCAACCTTGAGTTTCTGAACTTATCTGGAAATTAGTAAAGTCGCTATCAGTTTTCCTTTCTGCCGCGTTTGCTCATCTCTGAGTTTCATGTGTGTAGAAGCCCTCCTCCTTTGCACTTCATTTCCTCCAAAGTTGAAACGGAGCTTCCCATCCAACGTCCCCACCTCTGCAGTGCTCCTGGTGTCCGGAAGTGGCCTCATCCATCGCCTCTACTTCACTCCTGAGGGTTTGCTTCGAACACCCTTTTGAACATCTGCTCTCTGGCCTGGAACTCACTCTGTAGACCAGGCCATCCTCGAACTCACAGAGGTCCGCCTGGCTCTGCCTCCAGAGGTTAAAGGCGCGTGCCACCTTGCCTGGTCACCGATGTTTTGCTGTCCCCTCAGCTCGTCCCCCCCCCCCCACGCATCCTCCTACTTTTTCCTGTGCAGCATGGTTTATGATTAATCACATCCCCACTTCCTATTTTAGTTTTTCAGAATTCAGCCAATGACAGCAGTATCATAAACCGCATGTGTGTCCATTTGTCCCTTCACCGGGCAATTGTGTGTTTGCATGCACAATGCTAGGCATTACTGATACGTCAGTAACCACAGCCCAGACATCCTCTCAGTCCTTCGGGTAATGGTGACAGGAATGCACCAGGTCAAAGTAAACAGACATACAGTTAGGGCCGAGAGATGGCTCGGGTATTGAGTGCTTCCTGCTCTTGCCGAAGACCCTTGCTGTTGTCAACAATGTCCACTGCACTGCTGCAATTGAAATTTCATGGGACATAGTGTGACATTTACTAATTTTAATTATGTGTGTGTAGGTGCGCGTGTCTGTGTATGTTTGTGGTATAGGGATTGAGTCTTGTTGGTACAAGGTAAGTGAACTGCCACTAAGGTATGCCTCCAGCCTAGGCTTTTTTCCCATATATATTAAAAACTACTTTGTTCATTTTAGTTAAAAATAAGCACGCAAGACATGGAAGACTAGTATAAGTTTCTCTTAAAAACCAACAGTTGCCAAATAATTTGTTGTCAGATTAAGTAGTTACATACAATATTACATAGAGAATAATTTACATCTTGTAAATCTCATGCATGTGATCCCTTTTGTGTTTTGGCATTAATGTTTTACTGTGTATTCTGGTTAGCAGTATTTGTTTCTTTTTATGGTGATTGGACAATTAGCCATTCAACCCCTACTTCAGTGATTCACACTTTGTTAATATTTGAGAACTAATTATACCCTCATAGAACATGCATGCTGTGTTGTAGTCTTTTGTCTCAAAAACAATAACAGTATTGTCAAGAGGCTTGCTGCAAAAAGACAGTGAGACAGAAACCAAATCCAGCATCACTTTGGAAGCAGTTCTGTTTCTCTGTTAGTGTGGGTCTGTATAATTTAAAGAGAAGCATCAAAAGCTGTTGCACGGTGGAAATACAATGTCACAGTTTTGTGTCATGTCATCGTGGGACAAAGTCTAAATGCTAAGACACACAACATCACAGCAGAGCTTTGTTTTGCAATGACAAGCCGGCATTGGGGCAGCCTCACTTGAGCCCTGTGTGGATGTCATGGGGAATTCTGTGTTGGAGCCTTAGAGTATTGACACAAACTAAGGTCTTAGCCACAGTTTTTCAGGATCTGTATATGGTGTGGGGGAGTAGGAAGTTTCTTTGTGTAGCTGTCCTGGAAGTCACTCTGGACCAGGCGACCTCAAACTTAGAGATCCACCTACCTTTGCCTCTCTAGCACTGGCATTAGTTGTGAGCGTGTGTGAGAGTTGCACACGTGTGTGTGTATGTGCTTGCATGTGTACACATGCACACGGGCTAGAGAGGGATGTCAGGTTCCCTCTTAACTGACTTGAGACAGGTCTCACTGAAGCTGGAGTGAGGCTGGCAGAGTTAACATTTAGTTAATCCTACACTGGGGACGAATACCGTACTAGAAGATTCACAGAACTTAGTGTTTGCACCGTCAGTTGTTTACTGTGGATCTTATTTTGTGCATGCAGAGATTCAGGTATCATGCTTGTCTTAGTTTATACTTCCATGTCACAGTTTGTCATCGAGGAAAGTCAGGACAGGAGCTCAAACAGGACAGGAGCCCGGAGCTCGGAGATGATGCAGAGATCCCGGAAGAGTGCAGCTTACTGGCTGGTCCACATGGCTTGCTCAGCCTGCTTTCTTACAGAACTCGGTACCTCCAGCCCAAGGATAGCACCACACACCACCGGCTGGGCCTCCCCCATCAGTCATTCATTAGGAAAATGTCTTACAGCCAGAGTTTATGCAGGCATTTTCTCAGCTGAGGCTCCCTTCTTTGAGATAACTAATGTGTGTCAAGTCAGCACAGTACTGGTTCCAAACGGACCTTCCTCTGCCCCAGCACTAGGGGTTAGCCCTGTCCTGTCTTACTACCCTGCACAGATCTGACAGAGCTGACTCAGTGTTACTGTCACTTTTTTTTTGTTTTTTTATACCATATTAATGGTATTAATAGTACCTTTGAAAAGAAAGTCCAATTAGAAGAAATATCTTTGAAACAGGCATAATTTGGGGATGTAAGGCTTTCCCTAGTGAAATACTTTCATAGTGATCTCATTGCTTAAATTGATCATTTTGGTCCGCTTCGTAGTCTGTATCCTTTATTCTAATATTATAACAGGGCTTCAATTTTTGAGACAAGAAAAAACAAAACAAAAACCAAAAACACATTTTTAAAACTCAAATTAATTCTATTCCTAAAACATTTAGACCACTGCTTTGAAAGGTGCTTTTTTCTTTCTCTCAAGTGGCCATGAACCAGACAGAACACAACCTGACAGTGTCCCAGCTCCCAGCTCCCCAGGCTTGGCATGTGTTCTATGCGGACAAGTACACCTGCAGGGAGGATGTGGAGAGCCCCCAGGGGGAAGACGTCCCATTTGAAATGGTGTTGCTAAACCCAGATGCTGAAGGAAATCCATTTGATCATTTTAGCGCTGGAGAATCTGGTAAGATGTGTGTTTGAATACACCCTAAATGCAAAAAAAGAGATTTGTGCAAGGGAATCTTCATTTTACCTTCTTAGAATATTAAAAACGAAAAGCGGCTGAAGTTTGAAAGGCAGAATGCTGAATTTTATATAGCTTGGCTTCAAGTATGTTAAATACAGAAAATAAATTATAAAATGTTAACAGGCGGTTGTATACACAGGTAATAGAATTGTATAATTTTCCTTTACACGTTTTAAGTCTTGTTTTTAGGATATTTTGACATTGTTTTAATAAACAAAATGTTAATGAACTGTGTAGATTATTATCTACACTGAGGTATGAAGGAAACTACTTTATAGAAAAAATTCCCTTCCCTTAGTTTTGAAAAGACTCAGACCTTGCTTTTCTGGGTTCTAAAGTAATAATAGTCAAGTCTGTGGTGTTTTCTGGATTCAGATACATTCCTACAAGTCTTCACTAAAATTTTAGGTCACTGTGCCTTGCCTCACTGAACTGAGATCCTAGCCACATGGAGAAGATTGGCATGAACATGATAATGTGCTCTAAGTATGACAGATGGTCAGTTAATATGTTAGACTAAGCATCCATGTGGCCACCTGTCAGGGAGAAGGGTTCACTCCCTCGGGAACATTGGCCATTTGAAGAAGTCAATAAAGAAAATGCCATTGAATCTTGTCCATAAAGCAGTTGAGTTGAACGAGTGATTATTAATTTAGGCTGTATTTGGCTAATGACACCTTAGGCTGTGGACCATTACTGGAAGTCAGTGGCTGTCCTCAGTACTGTAAGATGTCATCAGTGAAACCCAGGCCAATGGGTAGCATTGGGCAGAGGCTCGGACTAACGGCCCTGGGACCCTTATTTTAGGACTGCTCAGGGCTTATAAGAAAGTAGCGCTCTGCCAGGCAGGGCTTTCCCTTGCTGCCTGCAGGTGCTCTCTGAATCTTGATAAATGCTGTCTTCCTTGTCCTGGCTCTGTCTCAGGACTTCATTTCTTCCTTCTCCCTAAGTTGGCATTGAACTTCAACCCCACAGCATAAAGTCATCCCATTTGCAGTCCCGGGCCTGTAAATGTGAGTCATCCTGGTCCTGGCTCTCCCTGAACTGGCCTATTCCTCTAGAGGTTTCCTGGCAGCCAGGGTTACTGCTAGTTTTTCTTTAGCATTCACACAAATAACTCTAATCCATCTGTCAGTACTTGGCTTCCTGGCTTTTGTTACTGATTTGGTATAAAAAAAAAAAAAAGCTTATTAAAAAATGGGAAAGTTACACAGGTCATGCCCTGACAATATTTGATTAGTTGGGAGATTCTGTGCAGAACCACTTGCAAGGACTGATTATTTAACAGTCAGAAGAGCTCAGAAATACCTTGGGTTCTCTTGACAAAACCCAGATGTGCCTTGGATTATTGAAAGCCAGTCAGTGGTTGGCTTACTTTCTGAAAGTTTACATTATTTTGTTGATTAAAATGCATAAAAGCCCCTGTGAATAGGTCTGTATTGGAGTTGAAATTGATGGTTCTAACCCCATCACTATAGAGAAAAGATTTATAAATCTAGAGACGCTTTTTTTGTTATTGTTATTTTTCAAAAAATGAAATATTGAGAGGCAGAGGCAGGCGGATCTCTGTGAGTTCCAGGCAGCCTGGTCTACATAGTGAGTCCCATGACAGCCAGAGTAAAATAAAATAAAAGATAAATTAACTTCTCCCAAGACTCAGACTTGTTTTGGGTTATAAGCCTGGCGTTGGATCAGAGCTCTGAAGTTATCTAATGCGCAGAACCACTGTTATAGAAAGCTGTAATCCAATCCTGTGGGTGATCCATCCGTTTTATGCTATAGTTTAAGAGGGTCTTTCCTTTCCTGTAGCCTTAGTATTGACTTTGTTTCTAGAAATGGTCTCTAGTTCTTTCAGAAATCTGTTAGTTTGTCTAATTATACACTCTGGGTAAGAAAATCTGATTTTCCATTTTTATAGAGATTTGACCCTACAGTTGAAAGATTTTAATTGAGTAATCTACTACAAACAACATACAATTAATGTTGCATTGTATTTTCTTTAAATTTTACAAACTGTTTCCTTTCCTTTGGTCCAGCTAATACATTCTGAATCTAGACTTTGATTAATCCCTGCTTTGCAGATAAATCTCACTTACAAAACCTACTAAGGCAAATTTGATGCCACTAAACAAACTGCTAAGTAGGAATATATGGTTTTCCAGGTAGGAAAAAAGGAAAAGAGCTTCTTTAAAAGATTTGTTGTGAATTTGAGAGGGGGCATGAGGAGAATTGGGGGAGGGGTATAAATGATATAAATATACTACTCGTGAAATTCTCAAAACAGATATAAAGAATGAAAAGATTAAAATGATTAAGTGTGTCTTCTGCTCTCCTTTGAAGGTAGACTTTTGAGAGCATGCTGCCTAAAGCAAATAGCTGGCTTTTATTGAGATAACATAATAGGCTTTGCTGTGTGACTGGATTTCAGCAGATACATTATGTTTCTCTGTTTCCCTTTCCCCCCCTCCAAGTTCCAAAAGTAAATGGACCACCCACTTAGCTCTAATAAAATGCTACAGCTGTAGGGCTCAGAGGAGGTGATACAGATACCGAGTATCTTAGGACAAAGGTCAGGCAGGGTGGCGCATGCCTTTAAATCTCAGCACTTGGGAGCAGAGGCAGGAGGATCTCGGAGTTCCAGGCCACCCTGATCTACAGACTGAGTTCCTGCACAGCCAGGACTACATCGTGAAATCTTGTCTCAAAAAAAAAAAAATCCTAAAAAATAAAAAGACGGGGAGAGAGAGAGAAATGAAAAGAAGGAGGAGGAGGAGAAGGAGGAAGAGGAGGAGAAAGAAGGAAGAAGATTCACCCACTTTGCCCTACCAACACAGTTTCAGTGTTGGAAGCCTCGGGTGGTTTTGCAATCTTGAATGGTGTTGAGACACTTGAGGGTGGGAATTGCTGGGCCTGGAGGCATGAAGCAGGCTGGGCAGGAGCTACCACACTGCTCCCTTCTCTACCCTTGCTGTGGAGTTCCTCAGATGGAGCTGTGGCTGCTGGAGCTGTGGTCTAAGCCTCCCTACTAGGTCTCCTCAAGGCTCCTCTAAGGCTTGCTTTGTGACGCACACATCTCTTTGTAAGCATTCACCATCTGCTGTGTGTTTGTCTGAGAGTTGTCTTCAGGGTGCATTGACTTTTAAGACACCCAGTTACCCACCTGTTTTAAAATTAGATTTTAATTCCAATGTGAACAACCCAAATTGCTTTCTTCTGACTTGTGACTGCCAGAGCCAAAGCAAAAGTAAAATTGGTAGCTAAAGAGAAAACAGAGACATGTCTTAGAGTTGATCTGCTTAAAAGGAAAAATAACATAGAGCCCAGAGTGGAGGGCTGACGTTGTCTTTTAAAGTGTGTTATGGACAAGAAAAAGAGAAGACTCCCTTATCAGAGACTTAGTTCACAAAATTTGAGTCATTGTTTGTGTTTAATTTACTTAATATATTCATCCAATCAAATACCTTCCTTTGTTCTCTCTCTATGTTAGTGTTTTCTGGGAGATATATTTAGTACTGAATAAAGTCTGTTGTCTAAGTAATTTTGATTTCTCAGTAAATAGTGATGATTTTCTTGTCATGTTGGATCTGCTACATAATGAGGCCTGAAACCTGGGCCTGTGATGGGTGCTTTACAAAATATTACAAATAAGTAAAACTTTAAAAAGATGCTTTGTGTGCTTTCTTTAATTCAAAGAAGGAAAAATTAAAAACTTGGGAATGTTTTTGGCTCACAGCGTTTAGTGTATTGGTAGCACCTGTATTTTCTGTCTTGATTCAGTACTATAATAATCTAAGGACATCATTCTGAAGTGCAGTCTCTTTCTGTGAAGGGGGTGTGAAAACTCTTCTCCTTCCTAGCAGCTGGTGGTTCTTCTCTGGCTAGCCCAGCTTCTCTGCTCTGGAACCGTGTAACTCATCGCTGTGTAGCAGGGCAGGAGAGACACCCAGTGGTAGAAGAACTTCTTGCTCCTTTTGGTTCTCTTGCTGATGACCCAAAAATGATGGAGTTTGAGTTACTTGTTTGCTGTTTTTACTGGGGTATGTGTCTGCTAGTTTGCTTTTCCAAAGTGATTCTTTAATAATAAAGGTACTTTCTTTTTTTTTCTTCATTAATTGGCATTTAACCCAAATGGGAAGCTAGAGAAATCTCACGCTTCTCATTGAAATGGGAGCGGATGCAGGTCCATCCACAGAGTCAGGGGAGCGGATGCAGGTTCATCCGCAGACTCAGGAGAGAACTCTCTGTGCAGCCGGTATTGCACATTGGCGTTTGGTAGGATGTAAAATCGCTGCTCTTAGGGACCACTGTGAGTTTAATCAGTACAGCTGACCCTCCATCTCAGCAGATTGCACATCCTTGTGTGCAGCCAGCCACAGATGAACAGTGTCATGTGAGTAGTTGTCTGTACCGAAAAAATGCCAGCTTTGTCCGTTTCAGTATTCTCAATACAATGTAGTATAATACCTGTTTATATAGTACTCACCTTGGATTAGATTTTCAAGATAACTTACAGGTGACTGAAAGTGTATAGCAGGATGTGCATTGGTTTTTATGCATAACTACCATGCGTTTTATTTAAGAGACGAGCATCCATGGGTTTTGATATCTGAGGGATTCCTGGGACCAGTCCGTGTGTGTGTGTGTGTGTGTGTGTGTGTGTGTGTTTCTATGCACACGGGTAACCACAACAGTCAGAAGATGGGTGCTTGGAGCTGGAGTTACAGGTGGTTGTGAGAGGCCTGATATGGGTGCTGGGAATTGAACCCAGGACCTCTGGAAGAGCAGCCAGTGCTCTTAACCCCTGAGCCATCTCTCCAGCTCGGGACCAGTCCCTCTTAGACTGAAAAGGCTGTAAATGAGTCCCTCAAATTCGAAGCCACGAAACTCTTGGTGTGAGTGAGTGGCACACTTCTCCTGTAGCCCTGTGAGTGGCACACTTCTCCTGTAGCCCTGTGAGTGGCACACTTCTCCTGTAGCCCTGTGAGTGGCACACTTCCCCTGTAGCCCTGTGAGTGGCACACTTCCCCTGTAGCCCTGTGAGTGGCACACTTCCCCTGTAGCCCTGTGAGTGGCACACTTCTCCTGTAGCCCTGTGAGTGGCACACTTCTCCTGTAGCCCTGTGAGTGGCACACTTCCCCTGTAGCCCTGTGAGTGGCACACTTCTCCCTGTAGCCCCTGCATTTTTGCTTGGGTTTTATGTCGCCAGTCTCCTTTGTGCATAGTTCCTCAGAACCTTGACATCGTCACCGCTGGTTTGACGCTGGCCGCGTCCAGCATTAACTCTTTTCAACTTCAGCTTTGACGGCCTACTTCCCGTAGTCTGTAATGGGAGTTCTGAGAGACAAATGATCCATCTGACTTGGTTCTTGGCCACTTGGAATGGTGGTCATTTGCTTGCCATAGTTGTACTTCCTATTGACATGGGGTCACCTGATTGCCAGAGGATTTCCTCTTTGCCAGTAGCTACAGAAAGTGCCAGAGAAGAGGCCTCTGGATGCAGATCTTAAAGCTTTGCCCAAACGAGAACACAAGGTGGTAGAACATCCCCAAACTGTGATTTGTATGTGTTATTATCAGAATCACCATAGGGCTTCCCAAACCAGACTTCGTGGCTTCATCCTCCAGTGTCTGGTTTGGTGGATCAGAACTGGTACCCAAGAATTTGCATCACAAGTCTTTGGTGATGTTGCCAGATCAGGGACCACACTTGAAAGAGCGTAGTCAAGGCCTATTCAGCTACTGGTGACAATGAATGTTCTAAAGTTCTCAGAGAAGATGTGCACTTTGAACTCTGAAGTCACTGCAGGCCTGGCTGTTTTCAGACGAAACAGAGTTCTGATTTTCAGTGAGTTGTCATCCTTGAGTGACTTTGTTGTTCCACAGATTGACTTTTAACTAGTTTAGGTTGCAGTCTCATAGTTAAAACTTGGTCAGGCCAGGTGGTGGTGGCACACATCTTTAATCCCAGCACTCAGGAGGCAGAGGCAGGTGGATCTCTGTGAGTTCAAGGCCAGCCTGGTCTACAGAGCGAGTGCCAGGGTAGGCTCCAAAGCTACACAGAGAAACCTTGTCTCAAAAAAAAAAAAAAAAAAACCCAAACAAAACAAAACTTGGTCCAAGGGGAAAAGATAATAATACCCACCTTTCTTCCTTACAAGACTGAGTGCTGTGAGCCCAGTTTAAAAGACAAGCACCAGACGTAGGTAACTTGACCATATGCGAAAGCTGCCCGGCACTGTGCTGTTTTACTGAAGCAAACTCCCTTTCTTCTCTTCACAGGGTTACATGAGTTCTTTTTCCTCCTGGTCCTAGTGTACTTTGTGACTGCTTGCATTTATGCCCAGTCACTGTGGCAGGCCATTAAGAAAGGAGGACCCATGCACACGGTCTTAAAAGTCCTTACGACCGCATTGCTGTTACAAGCCGCTTCAGCCTTAGCTAATTACATTCATTTCTCCAGGTAACTCCACCTCTGTGTTCATCCTTACAGCTAATTAATCCTAATTAGTTCACAAACATCATGCATGCTTTGATTGTGAGCATTTTTCCACACTTGTGATTTATATTAATGCTCTCCTCCTCAATTCCTCAGGTACTCCAAAGATGGAATAGGGTTACCTCTTATGGGAAGTCTGGCCGAAGGTGAGGATCTTTCTGAGTACCTTTTCAAAGATAAGTTTACCGTATTCTTAGAGAGAGAGAGAGAGAGAGAGAGAGAGAGAGAGAGAGACTTTATTTTCAGCTAGCAGTGTAGCTCAGTAGTAGAAGGAGGGAAGAAGGGAGGGAGGGAGGGTGGGAGGGAGGGAGGCCCTGGGTTTTCTCTCCAGCACTGTAAAATGATGGTAATGATGATGGTGATGGTGTGAGATAATTATTCTTGCTGTGGTGTTTTTTGTTTTTGTTTTTTTTTTGTTTGTTTGTTTTTGTTTTTGTTTTTGTTTTTTTTTTTTTTTTACTCTCGGGTAGTTAGAACTCAGCTTAACCAGAGCAGGACTGTGGATTTAGTAATCAGATCTTGTTTGATCTTGCTAATGAGCCATGTGTCTAGCTTAGTTCTTTACTGTTTGTTACCCACGTGGACTTCTCAGTTCATCCTCAGTAAAAAGCAGATGTGCTTTCCTTATCCCCATTCTGCAGAATCTGCTCAGATACCTGATGCAGACTGGAGAGGCCCCTGGGCCAGTGAGCTGCAGAGCCCAGCTCCAGACCCAGGGCCTACAGCCCCGTAGGTGAAGGGTGTCCTGTCCTCATTCCGCATTCACCCATAGTAACTTTGTTTCTGGTCCAAGACCACATACACACCTGTAATTGAGCTGACCTCACGTCTTTGTTCTTGTATTTATAGAAGAACTCTTAGTAATTTTAAAGCGGACTTCTCAGAGAAATGAAACCATGCTGTTCTTTACACACAGAACTGAACTATTTGGCCAGGGACAGGATTTGAATATGGAACCATGCTAGAATTTGTTTTCCTTTCCTTCCCATAGTTCCCCTTTGGTCTCACCATTCTTGAACAGGGCGTCTTTGGACAATTGCTACACGTCTTCTCAGGACTCACTCATCTGATCTCATCACCCATTTTGATTCAGAAACTTCAGAAACTTTTGTTACCTTGTGAAGCCAGGGGCACCATTCACCTTGGGCGCGAGCATGAGGGTGTGTCCCTTCTGAACGCTGTCTAGACCTTGGCTTCCCCTTCCCCTTCTTTCCTTGTGAACGTACTTGGATGTTTAGGGGACTCACGCTGCTAAGGCAGGGCAAAAGTGCACAGGTAACTTAGGCAGTTGAGGAAGCCAGCATCTGAAGAGGCAAAGCACAGCACAGACCTTAGCAGAAAGCTCCAGAAATCGAGGGTCATTGACCGTTTGTCTGCTCCATGTGAGACTGTTGGGTCTCCTGGCCGTTCTTTTCCCCTTCAGTTCTGACTTTTTGCCTGTGATACGAGCTTTCTACCACCGAGCTGTATCCCTTGGTATTTGAGAGTGGGGTGTACTTTCTCTGAGCTTGCCATGTAGCCTAAGCTTCCTCCTAACTCAAAACCCTGGCAGTGTCTCAGGTCCTAGGGTTTAGTAAGCCCCTCTGTCTCGTGTCCCTCCGCGCTCTGTGCAGTAGTTGTTTTAACTGCAATGAGTTGATGTTCCTGAGTGTCGGTATTCTTCCCACAAAAGAATTACTGGTTCAGAGATTCAGTTCAAGAAAGCAGAGTTCTTATGTGATCTGTGTATTTCATCTAAAGTAAATAAATGTTTACATTTTTACAAATATAAGTATATCCATATATAAAATGACAGGTTGTTATTTTGGCAACAATGAGCATAGGTTTGTCTATTCAGTTATGGTATGTTATTGGCCTTTGTAACCTGATGTATAAAGAAATGAGCAGGAAAATGAAGGGGATTTCCCCAGGTATTTGTTTTTGCTACTTAGGAGCTTATATAGGAATCCCTTCAGCCAACTTCTTTATCTAGTTAACTGACTGCATTTATGAATCGTTTAATGAAATTAATTGACACCACACTTAAACATGTGATGAAAGAAAAATGTGCTTGATCTGACAGGCTGTGCCATTCAAGTGTAGTAACAGTTTATTATCAGCAGTCATACGGTGTGTATGTAAGTGTGCATACGTCTCCTGGGGAGACAGACATCTGTTTTTCCCAGGTAGCATACCAGGAGCAGACCAAAACAATCCCACCCAAGATTAGGTTGGTGAACAAGTGAATTAATTTACTTAGGGTAACCTGTGGGCACGGGCAGCTTGCAAGCAGCGGTTACCTGCCCGTGTTTCATCAGGAAGGCACTGTGGGCCTCCCCCTCCCTCTCCCTCTCCGTGATGGGACATAGCTGTCCCCACCTTGTGCAGCTCTTCCGTAGGTAAACTGAGCTGCCAAGAGTCCAGGAAGTCAAGGCCATGGCATGCCACGTTCAGAAGTCAGCGTGTTACATGGTGCGTGTCTCAGCAGGAGGAAGTCTGTCAGAACACATCTAACATGTATTGTTGGTAAATGTTCCATGTGTAGCTCAAAAACATAAATAAGCACATAGCCCAGCTGCTCCTCTGTCTCTGTAGACAATCTTACCCAAAGCAGTGTCAGCTGGCAGTGTTAGCTGTGTGGGGGCCGTGGGTTATGTTGTGATCACAAGCCATTCACATACACCGCGATAAAAAGTAATAGCTTTTATCATAACCAAGCAACTGTTAACGTCTAAGATAAGCGTGCACGGACCCCGAAGCATTTACAGTTCACTCCTTTTATCTGTGCGCAGGTGGTTTCCTGACCGCCTTCAAAGAAGTGGCGTTCTCCTGCAGTGCCGGTGCTGGCCACCGGGTGGCACTAGTTCACGGAGCTCTTCATTTCTCTTCCGACTACCTCTACTGTTTCCTAACAGCTTTAGAGAATACTCCCATATTACATTCATCCATCAAACATCATTAGCACCCTACAAAGGATACTAATATTTTCCACATTGCAGAAATTATATTTAAAGTTTGCTTTTTTTTGTCAGAATTGTACATGCAATAAAAACTTTAAAGGGAAGAAAGAAAAAATAGCTTTAAGGTTGGGCTAACATAGATAGCCATGTATATTTGCTTTTAAATGGCAGTATTTCACTGTTCTTATAACCAATTACAAATTTTACAGCAAACATTTAATGTTTTAGAACTACTAGACATTAATGTCTCATACTGACTTCCCTCAGTTTGCTTGTGTGGTTTGAAAAGGAGCGCTGTCATGTCAGTATACAATGCGCTAAGCTGTGTAACTGTTGGCTTTGGCTTGTGTTTCCCTGCAGTTTTTGACATTGCCTCCCAGATCCACATGCTGTACCTGCTCCTGAGCCTGTGCATGGGGTGGACAATGGTCAGGATGAAGAAGTCTCCAAGCAGACCCCTCCAGTGGGACTCGACCCCTGCTTCCACGGGCATTGCTGTATTCATTGTCATAACCCAGGTGAGAGCTGACCCCACACACCGAGTGTGACCCACCACAAACGGGCACGGGGATTCTAGAAATGCACCAGCCAAACAATGCTAATGAGACCAGCAGTCTATCAGTTGATGAACACATACTTGTGCTTTTAACACACTGACCACATATTAGCACATGTGTGTGTAAACACAGAGTTCAGCTGTGGAAAACCAACTTACAGGAAATGGTAGTTTTACAGTCTTGCCTCTTTGTTGTAAAAGTCAGGGTTAGAAGTGTGGTTTAAGAAACAAGATAGTCATAATTCAGTGTAAGGAAGAATAGTGCTTTTAGTAATAAAACTCTCTGTGTGTGTGTGTGTGTGTGTGTGAGAGAGAGAGAGAGAGAGAGAGAGAGAGAGAGAGTGTGTGCCTGTGTCTGCACGTGCGTGCGGTTTGTGGGGGCAGTGTGCGAGGTGTATGAGCATGTGGGTGGGTTTGTGAACATATCTATGTTTGTATGTGCCTACGTGTGTGTATAGCATGACAGGCACATGCTTCCACACCCGGCTTTTTCTCGTACTGTGAGTTTTAGGGGTAGACTCAGTTCTTCTTGGTATTAGTTAATGGTTGCTGGAGGAGGGGTTGACAAGTTGTGCAGGCTTCAGTAAGTAGCCTCCCACCCATGCGAGCAGCCCTAATTAATGGTTACTGTGTCTAATAAAAAATAGAAATATAAATAGGAGGGGTTTGTTGGGAAGAAGGCTTCCATAGAGAGAGAGGAGTGAAAGGCTAGATTCATTATATACATGTACAAAGCTGTCAAAGAGTAAAAAAGAAAAAGCTTAACACACACGCACGTGTGTTAGATTTTAAGGATGGTTTCATTCCTCAAGTCTGTGCTTTTCCAGTCACTGCAGGTACTTCATGTGGCTAACTAGACATAATAAACATACGTATGTAGTTCTGTGTAACACACTCTGCCTAAGACTGAGTTATTTCCCTGACTTCCCCAATGGCGGGAGCTCTTCTGCCGTAGTGGTGGGATTGGTGGGATGGAGTGGAGCCTGCTGCCGCTGGCAACACCTTACGACAACCAATTGGATTTTGTTGTTTTGAGATGGTCTCATTATGTCACAGAGCTCTGCCTGCTCCTCCCTAGTGCTGGGATTAAATGCATGAGCCACCGTGCCCTGCCAAAGAATTGGATTTAATACTGAATTTTATCTATCAAAGGTGTTTGGAAGTGACTGAAGACTCTGCTTTGAAAGCCGAGCTTACATAAGGAAGCCCAAAAGCTTATTTGATGGTAAAGATTTCAATAATTTAAGTACTTGGAGTTTAGTAAGGACAGAGGAACCATGGATAGCAGCAAATGGAAGAGCAGAAAGCTGTGTTCTGTACTGTCACCGATATGACAGGGAAAGCCACAGGCAAGTAAGGGTGTGAGACAGTGCCCAGGAGCTTATACCAGATGTCACAGATGTGCTTTCAGGCTGAAACCCAGCAACCTGCGTTCAGTCCCCAGTACAAACCCACAGAGTTGCCATCTGACCGCTACGAGCATGGTGTGGTACAGACACGCACCTTCACATGCACGATAACAGTAAAAAAATCTAAATAAAGAAGAAAAAATGTCTTCCCTTACTTAGAGAAGTTGCCAGAGTGACATTTGACAATGATTTGGACCTGGCGCACTCTGTTAGAAAAGATGGAGCTATTTGAAAGTGGTCTTGAATTTGGCACAGTGAGGCACGTCCATCCCACCAGATCTCAGGGGGCAGAGACGTGACATTGCTGGAACTTTGAAGCCAGGACTTTCAGAAAACAAAAACAACCCCAAAACCTCAGCAAGTTAGCCCTGAGACACGAGGAGAGTTGGGATGTGAGGATGTGAGTTTAGAAGAAAGTTTCTCCTCTTCACTTCTCCATGTGTTTACTCTTAGAGATGATGGGTTTGGCTCATGATAGCAGCAGTAACTGTTTGTTTATTGTCTCTCTGTGTCACTTGGTAGAATCCCCTGTCAGGGTTACAAGAGCAGGAAAAGAGCCACACTATGATTGACAGCCTTTACAGTCCCACAAATCTTCGCATCCCTCCAGAATGTATTTCTAGCAAACAAAGGATGCTTACAAAAGGGTTGAAGACAAATTGTCTTGGAAGTAGGCGAATTCTTCTCTAATTGTTGTTTTTATTTACAGAGCATTTTGCTGCTTTGGGAGCAGTTAGAAGATACTCGTCACCATAGCTCTCATTCTCACCACAGCTTAGCAGGGGTGCTTCTGATCGTCCTAAGAATTTGCCTGGCACTGTCGCTGGGCTGTGGCCTCTACCAGATCATCACCATGGAGAGAAGCACACTCAAGAGGGGGTTCTACATCACATTCGCCAAAGTACGCACTGGGCAGGAAGTGCTCCGGTCAGGTGCTCTGCTTCTGCTCCGTCCCGTGGGAAGCTCGTGGGTCCCAGGACTGCCCTGAGCCTTTGTCCCTTCAGCTAGTCTTCAAGCCATGCACAAGGTGGTCACGGACCCATTTTACAGAAGCCACACTACCATGTTTCCCATGCAACCTCTGAAAGGGTCATAGGCCCACATCTTGGTTTTTCCTTACCAATGTATTTGTCAGCAGCTGTTACCTGTCTAACTGTTACTCTTGGAGCCGTGTTGTGTGACAAGCTGTGAGGAGCCGTCCTTTAGTTTAAGAGGGCGTGGCCCAGAGGCTGCTGCACCTGCCTGTGTGCACACTGCTCCACACCCTTGTGACTGAGCAATCCTAGAGCAGATTGCGTTCTTTCTGTGCCCATCTAGTCAGATGCTGAGGGGTAGCAAAGAGCTCTGAGCTGTCTCGTCTCAGTTCTTGCCACTACTGCATGGAATGGGCGCCACTGGCCCTACAGCCCTCTGCTAGAGAACCCGAACGTGTGCATTCCTAAGAGCATCGCCATCTTTCTCTCCCCGAGGTACCATGCTGAACAGTGCCTTTCTTCCCCTTAATCTTCAGGGTGCTCCAGGCATTATAAACTTGTTTCTGGTTTAATTTTGGAAAAGAGATACATTGGGGCAGTTCGTGGGAAAATAGAGAAAGGTATTTGAAAAGCATAATGTAAAATTTCCTGTTCCCACTCACCCCGTTGCGTCCCCTGTGCAATGCCGCTCTGCCGTTCCTGGTGCGCAGTGGGAATCTTGTGGGTATTTTTACTGAATTCATTTGCGTATGGTCACGTGACTGACGCCAATGCATCTGTGCTGATTCTTCTCAGTTGCCACTTGTTTCCTACATCCCAGCACCGGCACACACACAGATTGAAATATCTGTATGTAGCTGGTGTATAACTGTAATGCTATAAAGTACACTAAAAATTAGCAATTTGGTTAGAGAAAAGTATTAATGTCATAGCAAAAAATAAATTTGCTTCTACATTTTATTTCAAGTTTATTCTGAAGTTCAATTGAGGCCAGTCAGGACCTACAAGAGGGAGTGTTAAGATATTAGTTTTATTTTGTGAGTGTGTGTGTTTGGCCATTGTGTGTGTACCTATATAACATGTCAGATCCCCTGGAACTACACTTACAAACAGTTGTGAGCTGCCTTGTGGATGCTGGGGCTGAACCTGGGTCCTCTGTGAGAGCAACAAATGCTCAGTAAGAGTACTTGCCGAGCCACATCTCCACCCTGGGCCCTGGTGTATTAATAATTGCTTGGTTTTGATTCAGGACCTCGGTCCATAGCCCAGGCTACCCCCAAGCTGCAGTATTCCTGCTCTGAGGGCTGGAATGCTGGGAGATTCCAGTGTATGCTGCCAGGACCTGCCATGTTCTGTTTTTGCTTTTAATGTGGTGCATCCAGAAGTAAGGACAGCAAATCTTACTGGCTTGTCGCTTTCTTCCAGGGCTGTGTCTTGTGGTTCCTGTGCCAGCCAGTGCTTGCCTGTGTTGCTGTAATATTTAATGACTACCAAAGAGATAAGGTAAGCGATAAGCATGATGGCAGCGTTTTCAAATCCTCATGCAGGACATGATGTTAACGTAGGGGCCACTCAGAAGCTTCTTGACTTCTTTGAAACTCACAATATTAAAACCTGGTGAATCCATAAATGAGAAGTTTATAAACATTAATAAGACTTAAAAATTAGCTCTTGAACAGAATGATAGAGCCGGCTTTTTTGTCAGTCTGCTGTCAGAACATAGAGCCCTGGGCTCAGAATGGTTCTCCTGTTCGTACCTGCCGGGTGTGGGATTGCAGCACATACACCCAGCCCTAGAAGTAGCTTTCATGGGTCTTAGCCTGTTTCAGAATCATGTTTTATAAGTTAAATTACAGGACATATAATGCATCTTTTTTTAAAAAAAAAGAGAGAGAAATGATTAAAATTACTCATTGTGTACTGGTAACAACCAAAGTAGAGAAAATGGCATTGCTTTAACAGACTGCAGATAGTGTTTGCTGGTGTTTGATTGCACCAGTACCTGCTTTCCTTCCTCAGCGAATGGCTCCAGCATTTCAGAGCCCAGCTCTGCCATGAGTGTTTACAGATGCTAGGTAGGAGTGTGGCCCACAGGAACAGCTGTGCCTTGAGGCGGGAGTGTGCTTACTGCTATTACTAAAGTAGCCTGTTAGCAAAACGCATGCCTGTAGCATGCACACGCTTGGACAGGGGCCTTTTCTATCTCTCTGTGGTACCGTGCCAGGAGTTTACCCTTGAGTAGTCACAGTCCTGAAGATATGCCTGCTACTGTGTGTGTGTTTGATAGGACGCATCTGTGGGACAGAGGAAGGAAGGTAGGCTGAACAGAACACAGAGTGGATACATGCTAAATTAAATGTAACTTTTCTGTTTCTGCATGCATTGAAACATCCCCTTTCCTTTCTTTTTTCCAGGTGATTACAATCGGTGTTATCCTTTGCCAGTCTGTTTCCATGGTAATTCTGTACAGACTCTTCCTGTCCCACAGTCTGTACTGGGAAGTATCCTCACTTTCCTCAGTGACACTACCACTGACCATTTCATCTGGACACAAAAGTCGCCCTCATTTCTGATGCCCGACCTCTGCGGGAAGAGCAAGAGAATTGCAGAAGTGCAGTAAGGTTGCAGGTGCAGTGGCTTCTCTGACGCCTGTGCTGTGGAAAACTGGACAGTGAGGGCGGAGCGCGCTGCTTAAGTCACTGCTCTCCAGCAGTGCACTAAGGCGAAGGTAATAAACGTGCTGGCCTGTACCCACACGGCAGACTTGTAAGAGAGAACATGCTGTCAAGGGGGACTGAAGCACTTTTGACCTGGAAATAAATGTGAAAGTGATAACTCGAATGGCATGTGGGTCAGCTGTTCACACTTGCAATGCCTCACCAGTATCGAACTCAGGTCTGACAGTCTTAACAGTGTCGACGCAAACGGTCACGCCCAGGTGTGATGTCAGTGTGATTTTAAAACACTTTATGCTTTAAAGAACATGCATTTCATATTGCAATTTAAAGGAACTGTTCATTCGTGGGTGGAGTTATTCTGCAATTGCTCTTGTATTGTTGGCCCTAGATCAGGCTTTATTTTGATTAGGACAATGTATGGGAAATTCTAGATACCTTACATTGTTTTAAGGGCAGAGAGGGTTTATAATCTGAGTCCTTGAGTGAAGGGATGAGCAGGCTTTGTGTTTAAAAAGAAAGAAGGGAAAAGTAGTATATGATATGGCACTAAAATTCTAATCCTGAGATAATTCATTTCTCTAACATTGAATCCCCAATCATAATTAAGCTGTATACACAGATTAAATTAACAGAAGCATTTTACATAAATGTTGGTTTCAGTCATCAACTACCCATGAATTCCTGGCCAAGGATACTTAATCAGGATTAAATTTTCTATGAATAATTGAAAAACAAAATACTCACTGGATTTGTTATAATCCATGTTGGCACTGGATTGTAAGTAGTTGCCATCTTGAATCCTTTGTAATATAGCTGTGTGCCTCTGTGTGTGCGCGCACAAGTGTGAGTGAGTGAGTGTGTGTGTGTGTGTGTGTGTGTGAGTGTGTGTGTGTGTGTGTGTGTATGTGTGGTCTCCAGATTGAGTGTGTAGTTTCCTAAAAATTACCTGACTGAAGAGCAGCTGTGTGGACGCTATGAGAATACTGAGTAGTAGTTGCTGATTGACAATTATTCTAGTGGTATTTGTCAAGTTGTTTGGACCTTTTGTTTATGTTTGGCTAATTTTAAATATTTTCATCTGCTTATTGTGTTTTTAAGCAGGGAATGGTGCAATAGCCTGGTAATTGAGCTTTTTTAATGAAAGATTCAGGTAATGTAGCACAATTGAAAAGTATCTGCTTTGTCTTCATTTTTCCCTTGCATGAGTTTCATTGAAAATGAAATATTCTGCCTCATTTTAAAGACAAAACATGTTTTCAGCTAGAAAATTGGCAAAGTAATATGGTCCAGCCTGATTAAAGCATTTCTCTAGCAGTATTGATAACCTTCAGTAAAGGAGAGCTACAGGCTAATAGATATGCAAGGTAAATCTCAGGTTTGTAGACTAATAGATATGCAAGGTAAATCTCAGGTTTGTGGACCTATTGAGCTCTTACATCTTCTCTGTGTACCTCACTAGTTCCATCCACATCTTACATCCGTTATGTTCAGCTAAGCCAAAGCGAGAGTTCTGGAAACAGTGTGGTCTTACGCAGAGCTGGGTGAGCATGATGATAAAAAGCACAGGACATGGACCAACGTGCTTGTGTCGGCCAGACTTTCAGCAGGGACTTTGTTTTTATATACCCAGTTGCTGATAATTTATATTTTACTGTTAAGAGCAGTACGAAGGCAGAAATATAGTTGTTTAACGAATGTATGGAACTACCCTCGCCTAACAGATCCAAGGACAGAAGTATCTCATGTTATAATGGGGTCTGTTTCCTTTTCTTAGATAATTAGCATTCTAAATCACAGAAGGGTGAAATGTCCGTCCCCTGCCTGGCTTTCTCCTGTCAGACAATGCCTTTTAACGTATGGGGATTTTTCCTTTAAAAACTTCAATCTGTGGACACCCCATCCTATTAAGCACTGGTTTCTTTCTTTAAGGAAATACGAAGATGCTTGATTTTATTGGTATGTGTAGTAATGTAAATGCCTACTGTCCGTCAGACACCTTAACCTCGGTATGACTAAATCAAGCACCCATTTAACTGAGTAGGAATAAATAAATGTTCCTTTGAAGCTCACCAGACCTTTTTATTACTTTTTATTTTACTTTTGTGATTTTTGAACATATTTATTAGGTTATATGTTTTTAATTTGTGTGTGTGCGAGAGCAGCGAGCGCCTGCAGCATCTGAGCAACCTTCCCAGCTCCGTGTGCAGTTTTTCTCTCGGATGAGTGAGTGAGTGTACTCTGGCTTGCTGGTGATGGCAGAACTGGACCTGCAATTGTGCTGGAATCTGAAAGGAACTTCAGCAGCTATGAAAATGCAGTCCCTTTCCTACTGGAACCTAGCCAGCAGCCAGACAGGGAGAGTTAGTCCAGGTTGAAGGGCTTGCTGTCAGAAACTGGGTGACCTCAAACAAGGGAAGCCACATCTGACAAAGTAGAATATATACAAGTCCACGATGATGCCGGTGACACTGGACCACCCTGTGTGTGAGCAGAAAGCTGGTCCCTCTGGCGCATTTCTCTCAGATTCTCTGGGATTGCAGTTATTTGTGGCATTCTTATACGGAGTTTCTGTGGTGTCAAATCTTAGAGGACTTTGGTTTTGATTTAAGGCGATAGGATTGTTACATGTAGCCAGGCAGTTGGAGGGTTCCTGCCTTGAAACCTGTGTGGGTGTCCTGCAGCTTACGCCCTGCAGCCCTCTAAGTGTCCTTCCTGCCCCCACACCTGGGTGGTTGTCTTCACAGCTCCACGGACATGGCACATGGTGTGTTCCAGGACACCCAGAGGCATGGGGAGGAACCGGCCTGCCTCTGCAGCCATTCACCGTGTAACCAATATAGTCTCAAAAGGGAAATCAGCAAGGCGGGCGGTATTTAGGATCCCTTTGTGGTAATCATGTATCAGGTTGGGTTTTATTTCAAAATAAGGTATGTGTGTGCATGCATACATGCGTGCGTGTAAGTAGTAGGCCCGGGCTTGTAGAAAGCTCGACTACAGAACACTTGCCTGGCATGCATGAAGCTCTGGGTTCAACCCCATCGTCATACAACAAAGTGGCTTTCCTGTTCTGGTCGGACCCTGCCTGCTGACAGGTGCATCTTTGCCTTGTCTTCCCAGGTGCCACGGCTCTGTTCTGTTGTTTTGCCGATTAGAGTTTGAATTACAAGAGAGTTTGCCTGCTGACTTTATTGCACACGGACATTCCCTACTGCATATTAGATGGTCAGATACATACATACTTTTGTGTGTTGTTTTCTGTTTTGAATTTTTTTGAGACAGAATCTTGTTTTGTAACTCAGGCTGGGCTCACTGTTTGGCCCGAGCTGGCTTGGAAATCATGGCCGTCTTCCTGCCTCGGCCTCTCAAGTGCTAGTATTACAGGCGTGAGCCACCACACCTGGCTTGCAAATGCAGTTTCGAGGCAAATGAAATGGCTTAGCAGGTGAACAAGATTGACAGTCTGAATTTGATCCTGAGGACGCAGTAAAGGCGGACCTGCCAAGTTGTCTTGTGACCTCCACATATATACCCATGGCGCATATGTCTGTACATGCTGTGCACACACAAACACACAACAGTAATAAAATTATATTTATGTATGAGCGAATGAGTGACAGAAATTCTGAAGAAAAAGACCCGAAAGTATACTTAGCAGCATTGCACGCGCTAAACCCTGTCGGCTCGGCTTCAGGGGCACCTGCCTTGTCCGACCTTTGTTCGTGGGGACGTGGAGCCTGCGGGTGTGTGACGTCTGTAGCCAGGTGTTAGGAGCAGTTCCCCTTTACTCTCATGGAACACTTGGTGGACTAAAGGACAGTCGTTGGAAGTAGCTGGTAGAAAACAGGAAACTGAAAGTACACACACGTCATAGTAGCTCAGCGTCATTTGAGTAATGAAAACGTTTCTTGTATCTTAGCACACTCAGCCTTATCCAGGGTAACCATGGCAAGTGCTTTTCCTGGAAGCCGGGACAGATCACAAGTTAGAAGTTTTGCTTAGTTACCCTAGATGTGAAATATAGGTCTTTCTTTACTAGGTAGCATATGCATTTCATAGATGGTATATGCATTTAACAGTCCATGCATTTAATAGGTAGCATATGCATTTAACAGTCCATGCATTTAATAGGTAATATATGAATTTAATAGGTAGTGTATGCATTTTGAACAAAAAGACAGCTTAAAGGCATTGAGGTCTATAAAGTAGGAATCTTCCAGTTACTCATTTTCCTGTTGTAAATACTACCTCATTACCTGCTACTTCCTTGTTTATATGTCTAGAAGTAGCTCTATGCATGGATAAACAAACACATGTATTAAAAACAAGTTGTAACATGTCACACACCTGCCAGTATACCCAGTAATGTGTTCTGTAGCCACGCATATAACATGTCTCATTGTATGAATTTGCTTTGATTTGTTTAATCTGTTTTTATTGATTTGGACATCATTGGTTTCCAGTCTTTTGCTAATGTAGATGGGGCTGAAATTAAGGCTGTGAAATCAAGAATGTGCTTACTCTTCCTCCTCCCTGGACAACGCCCTCTATCCCACAACTTCCTGAACCTAAGTTCCTAGTGATTGCCTAGTGTCTGGTTGTGTCTCGCCCTGATGGCTACACTAGTGAGATGCCTTGCCACGAGGTTGTCGTCTACACAGACAGGAGTCGTCTACACAGACAGATCAGCTGTCTGATTGATTAGGAGGAGGAGAGTCAGTCATAATTGAGAGATGAGGGTAAGCTTTTTATCAGGTTTGTTTGCAGTGGGTTTTAGTTTTGTTCTTTCACAGCTTCATGCATGCACGTGGTGTATTTGGTCCCTCTGCCCACTCCACGTTCTTTCCACAGTAACCACCCTCTCCCTGCTCCTTCCTATAAATGTATTTCCCCTGTTTGTTAGGTTTTTATGC